TCCACTGATTCATTGGGGAAACCAATGACTGACTGACTTGGTACTTAAGTGAAAAGGGAAGGCTAGGGGATGAATGGGTACTGACCCAAGGCACGCAAGCCCTCAAGCTTCTGAGAGAATTGATTTGTCGCTTAAGAGACAGGCAAGACAGCGGCTAGGGTACCTTTTTTGTTCATAATAACATTAGCTAACCTTTACTGATCACTAGTGCTAGGCACTCTTATAAGCACTTAACATGCACCATCTCAGTTAATTCCCACAATAATTCTATAAAGTAAGAAATATTATTATATTCACTTTGCAGATAGGGAATTGAGGTAGACGTATCATGAGGAATCTACTCAGGGCTGCTTTGTGAACAGGACAACCAGGATTTGAACCCAGATAGGCTGTCTGTAAAGCTTTTGAGCTTAACTTTACCCCATATAGGCTCTGAGAGGTGGGTGGGACCTTGGGGTTGCTGTGTGTTCTGATCTCCACCTACCAGGGTAAACCCTGCTATGTCCCATCTAAATGGTGTCCAGTTTTAGGATCCAATCTAGGGAAAAGGACCCTCCATGATGAACCTTAACTTCAACAGTCCAGAACATTGAATTTGGAGCTCTGTGCCACAGGTACTCTGGTTTATTATGTGTAATAGAAGCCAGTTTTTATTGTGTGGTGAATTTATGGGTAAAAAATTTGATCTATTGATAGGTGTTGCTTTATTCCTTCCCTTCCTGCCTTCCTGCCTGCCTTCCACTCTCTCTCTCTTTTGCTCTGTCTCTTTCTTTTATTTTTGAGATGGAGTCTCACTCTTGTTGCCCAGGCTGGAGTGCAGTGGAGCAATCTTGGCTCACTGAAACCTCTGCCTCCCGGGTTCAAGCAATTCTCCTGCCTCAGCCTCCCGAGTAGCTGGGATTACAGGCATGAGCCACTACGCCTGGCTAATTTTGTATTTTTAGTAAAGACGAGGTTTCTCCATGTTGGTCAGGCTGGTCTCCAACTCCTGATCTCAGGTGATCCACCCGTCTCAGCCTCCCAAAGTGCTGGGATTAAAGGCGTGAACCACCGCACCCGGCCCTAGAATTTCATTCTTGTTGACGAGGCTGGAGTGCGATGGCACAATCTCAGCTCACTGCAACCTCCACCTCCCAGGTTCAAGTGATTCCCCTGCGTTAGCCTCCCAAGTAGCTGGGATTACAGGTGCATGCCACCAGGCCTGGCTAATTTTTGTATTTTTAGTAGAGATGGGGTTTCACCATGTTGGCCCAACTGGTCTCAAACTTCTGACCTCAGGTGTTCCACCCACTTCAGTCTCCTAAAGTGCTGGGATTACAGGTGTGAGCCACCCTGCCGGGTCTGGTGTTGCTGGATTTCTAAGCGAACATCTAGTGGTCCTTTCTTGGAGGCAGAGCCTTCAGGGCTGCTCCTGGAATCTCTGTTTCCCATCCTGGCACTCCAATTTCACTGTTAGTTATTTTGGGGAGGGGAGAGGATGGGAAAAGTTCATTTTCCTAGTCACAGAATTCCAGCAGTAAACAATGCGTAAAGTCTTTTTTCCTGAGAGGGATATTGGGCTCAAGGGCATAATTCTCCAGGCTGACCTTCACTTCACTTGGGAGGGGCTGAGGCTTAGAAGTCTCCTCTCATTTCACCTCAGTGTATTGTAGAATTAATAAACCACAAGCAGGACCTCTGTGAAGTGTTTATCTTGGTTAGGAATTTAAACTTACTCTCAAACATTTCTAAGAAGTACATGTCTGTCTTTTTCTAAATATTTTCCAGGTCACAGGGCTCCCTGATATTCCTGGATGTGGCATAGTCATTTCTTCCAAACATCTAATATGATTACTCCTTGTTTTTTTTTAATTTTTATTTTTTTGTTTTTCTTAATTATTAGTTACTCCTTGTTTTTTTTTAAAGTTCATTCCCTTTGAGCTATTCTGTGGATAAGAAAACATGCGTCATCCAATATTCCTTCATTGGTACAATTTTCTGAAAATTCAATATTCTCACCTCCACAAGTTTCAAAACTCATCTCTGAAAGGAATAAGAGGTAAGAAGCAGATCTTTTTAAAGTGTGTGTGTGTGTATATATATATATATATTTGAATACATAAAAGAATATATATTTATATATGTGTATATATATTTATATACGTGTATATATATATATATAAATATATCTATATACACATATATATATATTTGAGACAGAGTCTCACTTTATTGCCCAGGCTGGAATGCAATAGTGCAATCTTGGCTCACTGCAGCCTCCGCCTCCCAGGTTCAAATGGTTCTCCTGCCTCAGCCTCCCAAGTCGTTGGGATTATAGGCATCAGCCACCATGCCCAGCTAATTTTTTTTTTTTTTTTTGAGACGGAGTTTCGCTGTTGTTACCCAGACTGGAGTGCAATGGCACGATCTCGGCTCACCGCAACCTCTGCCTTCTGGGTTCAAGCAATTCTCCTGCCTCAGCCTCCCGAGTAGCTGAGACTACAGGCGCACACCACCATGCCCAGCTAATTTTTGTATTTTTAGTAGAGACGGGGTTTCACCTTGTTGACCAGGATGGTCTCGATCTCTTGACCTCGTGATCCACCCGCCTCGCCTCCCAAAGTGCTGGGATTACAGGCGTCAGCCACCGCGCCCGGCCTATTTTTTTTTTTTTTTTTGCTCCCAACTCCCCACAGATTTTTGTATTTTTAGTAGAGATCGGGTTTTGCCATATTGGCCAGGCTGGTCTTAAACTCCTGAATTTAGGTGATCTGCCTGCCTCGACCTCCCAAGTTGCTGGGATTACAGGCATGAGCCACCGTGCCAGGCTTCTTATTCCTTTTTTAATTCAATAAACATGTTTAAAAGTCCTATTGAATGCAGGAACTATAGTAGGAGATATTAGAACACAAGCCTGAAAAAGACCTATTCCTTACACTTTAGATGAATCTAGTGACAGAGGCAGATATATACAAAAGTATAATTCAAGGCAGAGTTTTAAAAATTTAGCAATGGAATACAACAATGAACGAATACTTTCACATAAATGCAATATCTTGTAGTGAAAAATGCCAGGCTTTGGAATCAGTTCTGAAGCTGGAATGTTAATTTAGCTCTGGCCAATTTAAGCGCTTATGAGAGTCATGGCTTAGTGTGGTAGCTCACTCCTGTATTCCTAGCACTTTGAGAGACTGAGGCGGGCAGATCACGAGGTCAGGAGATTGAGACCATCCTGGCCAACATGGTGAAAACTCGTCTCTACTAAACATACAAAAAATTAGCTGGGCGTGGTGGCGCATGCCTGTAATCGCAGCTACTCGGGAGGCTAAGGCAGGAGAATCGCTTGAACCAGGGAGTCAGAAGTTGCAGTGAGCCGAGATCACATCACTGAATTCTAGCCTGGCAACAGAGCGAGACTCTGACTCAAAAATAAATAAATAATGAGAGTCATTATACTTACCTTTATAATTCTAATTCCAAGATTGCTTTGAGGACTACTCAGTGAAATAAAGTTCCTAAAAATAATTGATAATTAATAAACAATGGCCATTATTACTCAATTCTCAAAGGAGGAAGGTGGAGCAGATATAGTTACTATTTACAAATGAGGAAGGCGAATCTGTGAGATTAAGCCATTATTCTGAAGACACCAAAGTAGAAATGAAGACGCCAGCCCAAACTCTGATTTTCAGATTTTTTTTTTAGAGACAGGGTTTTACCATGTTGGCCAGGTTAGTCTCCAACTCCTGGCCTCAAGTGATCCACCTGCCTTGGCCTCCCAAAGCGCTGGGATTACAGGCGTGAGCCACCGCGCCCTGCCGATTTTCAGATATTGTAAATTCCAACACCCCATACCAGCACAACCTTTTAAAAACCACATTTTTACTGATCTCATGTTTTTCTGTCCAAATGCATTAGGGAGGATGCACAAGATAAAATGAATATGGAGGGAAGTGGGACTTAAGCACGGTCTTGACCTCCGGAGAGGCGAATTTAAGGAAACAGGAGGATGAGCAGGAGCAAGCGCGCGCATGTAAGGAGCGTTTGGGAAGCCGTCAAGAGGTCGCAGGGATGGAGTGGGTTCATAAGGCTAGAAGGAGGGCTCCTCCCATGGCTCAGGGTGACGACATGATAATAGGTAGCGGATACCAGAACTCCGGTAACTACACGGATAGACGTTTAAACCCGGACACTTGTACGCCAAGTCCGCTCTGTGACTGTGTAGCCCATCTCGGGGGGCGGAGCCGTGGCATAGCCAGCCTATCATCGCTGCCGAGACCGACGAGGTCTCTTAATCATTGGCGAACAACGGCGTGACGTCATGTTCGCCGGGCTGGCGAAGGAAGAGGACGCCATGATTGGTTGGCACTGGGGCGGCGGGCGGTGGAAGGGCCTGGCGGATCTGGGTTTCACCCCTATGCTGGACTTTCTCCTTCCATGTTTCCAGGCCGTAGGGGGCTGCAGAGGGCGAGGAGTCGACTCAGCGGAAAGCTGGATTTGGTTCTAAGCCGCGGGATTGAGAAGGGGTGACCGGAAGTGATCGTGGGACTGACCGGAAGCGAGGCCTGGAGGGGAAAGAGAGCGCGATCCCTGGGAGGGAGGGGGCCTCCAGCAGAAGGGGGCGGGGGAAAAGGTCCAAAAGCAGCGTGGGAGCGCCGGGCTGTCCTCCTGCGGCTGCTGCCGGTCTGTCTGGGAAGCAGCAAGCCACCCCTAAGAGCCCAAGGGGATATCCTAAGAAGTGGGAGTGCGGGAGTCCAGAACTGCCTCTGGGAAGTCTGCGGTAGTTGAGCAAAGGGAGCCTTACGTTCTTGAGAACTGGGCAGGGGGGTTTTGGAACCCGGGGCAGCCAAGAGCGATCAGTCAAAGATACCGGAGATTAATTGTACGAGCAGTGCTGGTAGGGTTTCGGGGTGGCTGGTGGGTACTGCGTGGGAAACCTTGGTTTGTAGTTTTCTACTGTCTTGCCCCTGTTGGGTAGACTACCCTCCGCGCCTTTGTACAAGACACGGTGTCTCCTGGGGCGAGGAAGGAGCCAGGATGGCCTGGGCTCTGAAGCTGCCTCTGGCCGACGAAGTGATTGAATCCGGGTTGGTGCAGGACTTTGATGCTAGCCTGTCCGGGATCGGCCAGGAACTGGGTGCTGGTGCCTATAGCATGAGGTGAGTGAGATTTTCCCAGACCCTACACCTTCTTAATAACAAAGGCGAGATAGAGGCTAAGAAAAGGGGTTGAGTGAGAAGGAGATATATAGAGTTTTTAAAAGCTGCCTGTGATTGGGGAAAAGGGACTTAGTAGTCGTTGTTGTGGAAGAAATGGAAAAAGCGATTGTAGGCAATATGAAGCCTGTGCAGGATCAGTGAAAGAAGGCAGAATGGTCCTTGATTAGCAACCAGATGAATGTTGAGAGGCTTTTGTGCCAATGTGGGAGACTTGGGGACTGATGCTGTATGTGTGGGTAAGTCTGACGTTATGTGAAGAAGCGGTAACATACAGCATAGGAAGGATGTCTAGGATGTTGGGGAATTGGGAGCTGGTGCTTAATGATGAATATTGGTTCGTTGCTTGTTGGAAAGATATGGAAGTCCTTGATGAAGAAGTCCATACAGCTGTATCTTATCACTAGCTTGCTTTGAGGCTTTTCTTAATTCTGGGATTTCTGACTTTTAAAACATAAGCTGTGAAATGAAAAAGTGACGAAGAAAACTCTAAGATGCTTCTAAATCTTTATGTATCAAGTCAATTGTTGGTAACAGATTAAAAATCTCTTTTCCGCAGGGTGTGGTGGCCCACGCCTATAATCCCAACACTTTGGGAGGCCGAGGCGGGCGGATCACTTGAGGTCAGGAGTTTGAGACTAGCCTGGCCAACAAGGTGAAAACCTGTCTCTACTAAAAATAAAAAAAAATTAGCCAGGTGTGGTGGCGTGGGCCTGTAATCCCAGATACTTGGAAGGCTGAGGCAGGAGAATCACTTGAACCCAGGAGGCGAAGGTTGTAGTGATCAGAGATGGTGCCACTGCACTCCAGCCTTGGGGACAGAGTGAGACTCCATTTCAGAAACAAAACAAAACAGAAACTCATTTGAAAGCAGCATTACTGCCTATATAACTTTTTGTGTGTATTGGCTACTTCATTTCTCTCTATTTAATTTTAGATGTGCAAGAATCCTGTTTGGAAATGTTGAAACAGCTGCATCTTGGGGTTAGAGGGACTATAATTGGGTTTCCTAATGCATTATAAGACTTAACCTAAATAAGTGAGTCAAGAGACTAGAACTTAACTTTTTTTTTTTCCCTGAGACGGAATTTTACTCTTGTCGCCCAGGCTGGAATGCAATGGTGTGATCTCAGCTCACTGCAACCTCCGCTTCCTGGCTTCAAGTGATTCTCCTGCCTCAGCCTCGCAAGTAGCTGGGATTACAGGCACCGGCCACCATGCCCGGCTAATTTTTTTGGGTATTTTTAGTAGAGATGGAGTTTTACCAGGTTGGCCAGGCTGGTGTCAAAACTCCTGACCTCAGGCAATCCACCTGCTGAGGCCTCCCAAAGTGCTGGGATTACAGGAGTGAGCCACCGCACCATGCCAGAACTTAACATTTTCACTGGGTTTATGAGTTTATAGGGGAAAGATGCTTTTTATGGGGAAAGTGATGTATTTTTCATTCCTATAATGAGATCTTTTAAGAGTTATGTAAAGTTCCTTTATTCCTGCTAATTTAAAGTGGACTTGGCCAGGCATGGTGGCTCACACCTGTAATCCTAGCACTTTGGGAGGACGAGGTGGGTGGATCGCCTGAGGTCAGGAGTTCAAGACGAGCCTGGCCATCATGGTGAAACCCCACCTTTAAATAAATAAATAAATAAAGTGGACTTTCCTCACTGAAGTAAAATTATGTTAGAATTTAATACTTCAGCATCTTCAGGAAACTTTACTTAGAATAATAAAGACTATTATTCTAAATAATAATCATGCCTGTAAGGCTAGCACTTTTGGAGGTGGAGATTGGAGGATCCCTTGAAACCAGGAGTTCCAGACCCACTCTTCACAAATAGGTCAACAGATAAACAAATTACCCAGGCCTGGTGGCATTGTCCTATAGCTCCAGCTACTCAGGAGACTGAGGTGGGAGGATTGCTTGAGCCCAGGAGTTTGAGTCTGCAGTGAGTTGTGATTGTACCACTGTACTCCAGCCTGGTGACAGAATGAGACCTCATCTCTTTAAAATAAAAAAAGTATTTAAAAATTAAGAAACATTGGGGAAAAAGACTATCCTTATATAAATATTTTAGTGATTTTCAGGGAAACTTGAGTTCTGTGTGTTCTATCCTACAATGACCTTAGTCTTGAGAAGTTTAACTTTGGGTTTACCTGTCCTTGTTTTTATAAGTCTGAGCATAAAAATACAGGTTTTATTTTATTTTATTTTATTTTTTGAGACGGAGTCTCGCTCTGTTGCCCAGCTGGAGTGCAATGGCACAATCTCAGCTCACTGCAACCTCTGTCTCCCGGGTTCAAGTGATTCTCCTGCCTCAGCCTCCTGAGTAGCAGGGATTACAGGCATGTGCCACCACACCAAGCTAATTTTTATATTTTTAGTAGAGACAGGGTTTCACCATGTTGATCAGCCTGGTCTTGAACTTCTGACCTCAAATGATCTGCCCGGCTCAGTCTCCCAAAGTGCTAGGATTATAGGCATGAGCCACCGTGCCTGGCCAAAAATAGAGGTTAATTTGGTCTGAAAGTAAATGCCCTGACCTGGAACTTACACATGAGCATCTGACATAATATTTGATGATTTTTTATGCTGTTGCTTGTGTAAAGATATCCACAACAAAAAGTCTGATTTTGTTTAGGTTACGAGAGGTTAGGATGGAAATAATTAAATCTAACTGTACTTGTTATAAAAATAATTAACATCAGCAAACGTTTGTTCATCTACTATACACACTACCATATGCTCTTGATACTATGCTATCTTACATTTAATTAAGAGTGCTTTACAAATCATACCCTGTGTGGTTTTCACAGACATTAGAATGGCTTGCATATTTACGCATTTAGTTTTCTTCAACATTAAAATCAAACGCACAGGTTTTCAAACATCACTTTGAGTTCTTGAGAGCACAGTGTGCCAACATTTTAAGTACTTTTTTCTTTTTTTTTTTTTTTTGAGATGGCTCCGTTCTGTCACCCAGGCTGGGATGCAGTGGCACCATCTCAGCTCACTGCAGCCTCCATTTCCTGAGCTCAAGTGATCCTCACACCTCAGCCTCCTGAGTAGCTGAGACTGCAGGCACACACCACTACACCCAGCCTTTTTGTTTTTTTTTCATCTTTTTTTCATGTGTTAGGTACTCATGATTATTCTCTTGACGCTTATGCACATTTAATCTTTTCTATTAATTTGTGTTAATTAGATATTGGTCTTCATATTTTAGTATTCATAAGAGTCACCTGGAGTACTTATTAAGAATACACTTGGGGCCGGGCACATTGGCTCACACCTGTAATCCCAGCACTTTGGGAAGCTAAAGCGGGCGGATCATGAGGTTAGGAGATGGAGACCATCCTGGCTAACACGGTGAAACCCTGTCTCTACTAAAAATACAAAAACTTAGCCAGGTGTGGTGGCACATGCCTGTCGTCCCAGCTACTTGTAGGAGGCTGAGGCAGGAGAATCACTTGAATTCGGGAAGTGGACCAAGATAGTGCCACTGCACTCCAGCCTGGGTGACAGAGCAAGACTCTGTCTCATAAAAAAGATACACTTGGGGGCTGGGCGTGGTGGCTTATGCCTGTAATCCTAGCACTTTAGGAGGCTGAGGTGGGTGAATCACCTGAGGTCAGGAGATTGAGACCAGCCTGGCCAACATAGTGAAACCCTGTCTCCACTAACAGTACAAAAATTAGTTGGGCATGGGGGCACACACCTGTAATCCCAGCTATCTGGGGGCTGAGGCAGAAGAATCGCATGCATCCGGGAGGAGGAGGTTGCAGTGAGCTGAGATTGTGTCACTGCACTCTAGCCTGGGCAACAGCTAGACTCTGTCTCAAAAAAATGTAATAAAAATTAAAATGTAGTTGGGGCCTATATTGGTGGCTCACACCTGTAATCCTAGTACTTTGGGAGGCCAAGGTGGGAGGACTGCTGGAGCTCAGGAGTTTTCATCAGCCTGGACAACATAAGGAGACCCTCTCTCTACTAAAAATAAAAAAATCAGCTGAGTGTGGTGGTGCCTGCCCCTAGTCCCAGCTACTCTGGAGGCTGAAATGAAAGGATCATTTGAGCCTAGGAGGTCAAGGCTGCAGTGAACTATGATTGTGCCATCGCACTCCAGCTTGGGTGACAGAGTGAGATCCTGTCTCAAAACAATTTTTTAAAAATACAGTGTATAGGGTCCCATCTCCAGTGATTGGGGCACAGACTAGAAATCTGGTTTGTTTATTTATTTATTAGACATGGGGTCTGGCTTTGTTGCCAAGGCTGGAGTATAGTGGCCCAGTTACAGCTCACTGCTGTCTTAAATTCCTGAGCTAAAGCAGTCCTCCCTAGTAGCTAGGGGTCATGAGATATCATGTCTGGCTGGTTTAAAAAAAAAATCTTTTTTTATTTGTTTTTTTTTTTGAGATGGTGTCTTGCTCTGTCACCCAGGCAGTGGTGCAATCTCAGCTCACTGCAATCTTTGCCTCCTGGGTTCAAGCAGTTCTCCTGCCTCAGCCTCCTGAGTAGCTGGGACTACAGCCATGGGCTACCATGCCTGGCTAATTTTTGTATTTTTTAGTATAGACCAGTTTTTGCCATGTTGGGCAGGCTGGTCTCAAGCTCCTGACCTCAGGTGATGATCCACTTGCCTTGGCCTCCCAAAGTGCTGGGATTACAGGTGTGAGCCACCCTGCCCAGCCTCTGTTCCTTTTTCTTTGTTCATTTTTTTCCTGCTCCTCAGCTTAAGTAATTTCAGTTCTGTCTTCATGTTCATTGATTCTTTCTTCTGCCTATATCTTGAATCTTTAGTGAAATCTTTATTTCGGCTAGTGTATCTTTATATCCAGAATTTCTATTTCATTCCTTTTTATATTTTAAAAATATTTTTATTGATATTTCTTATTTGTTTATACATTGTTCTGCTGATATCCTTTAGTTTTTTTTTTTTTTTGAGATGGAGTTTCGCTCTTGTTACCCAGGCTGGAGTGCAATGGCGCAATCTCGGCTCACCGCAACCTCCGCCTCCTGAGTTCAGGCAATTCTCCTGCCTCAGCCTCCTGAATAGCTGGGATTACAGGCACGCGTCACCATGCCCAGCTAATTTTTTGTATTTTCAGTAGAGACAGGGTTTCACCATGTTGACCAGGATGGTCTCGACCTCTTGACCTCGTGATCCACCCACCTCGGCCTCCCAAAGTGCTGGGATTACAGGCGTGAGCCACCGCGCCTGGCCCCTCCTTTAGTTTTTATTTTGTTTTGTTTTCATTGTTTCCTTCAACTCTATGAGCATATTTAAGACAGTTAATTTAAAGTCTTTGTCTAGTAAGTCCATTGTCTGGGCTTGCTATAGGGTTGTTTCTGTCAACTTTTTTTTTTGCAATTTCTTGTTGGGAAGTGGACATTTTCTATGTTGTAATATGGTAACTCTGAAAGTCAGATTCCACTGCCTCCCTAGGGATTACTGTTGTTACTTATGAAAGCTGCATTTGTCATTTGTTTAGTGCCTTTTTCCAAACAGTCTTTGCAAAGAGCATGTGGTCACTGAAGTCTGTGTTCTTTTATCTCTGTGATCTTTCAGTGACTTGAAAGAGATTTCCGCAAATGCTTAGATCCAATAAGAAAAGAAAACAAAACCAAAAAAAGAGTGTTCTGTCTCTTTAAATCCACTTGTCTAGTGCCACTAGAGAAGCCACTTCAGTCGGGGGGTGTGCATGTATGAAACAGTAGCCAGCCTCTCTGGCAGCTCTTCAGCAATCAAAAGTAGTGAACAAAGCACATAACCTCAATTTTTGGAAGACAAAGCCCCTGTTTCCCACCCTAGCACCAGCAAGCTGCAGCAGGAACTGCCATCCCAACAGTTGCGTACCACAGGTCTGGGAGCTAGAAAATGATAGATGCTGTTCCAAATGCCATAATACACTAAAATCTACCAACTTTTTTCCTCATCAGGCACTACTCTGGACACTGCAAGTGTTTGATTAGACCCCAGAATCCTAAAATAGTCACCTCAAGCAATTCTTGCCATCTCAATAGTTGTTTTGGTGAAGGTCCTAACTCCTGGAGTTTCTACTCTCATCTTCCATGTCTGTGTTCCTAATTTTCAGCAGCCTTTTAATTGATCCACCTCACCTTCTGACTCAGCGCATACACACACACATACACACACACTCTCATCCTATCTGTTCTCTACACAGAACCCTTTGTAAGTGCCTGTGTTTTTTTCCACTTAAAAGATAATTTCATTCTCAACATGGAAAAAGCAGAATAAAAAAAAAAATTCACGGCGGGGTGCGGTGGCTCATGCCTGTAATCCCAGCACTTTGGGAGGCCAAGGTGGGTGTATCCCTGAGGTCAGGAGTTTGAGACCACCCTGGCTAACATGGTGAAACCCCATCTCTACTAAAGATACAAAAAATTAACCAGGTGTGGTCGTGGGCGCCTGTAGCCCCAGCTACTCAGGAGGCTGAGGGAGGAGAATTTCTTGAACCTGGGAGGCAGAGGTTGTAGTGAGCCTATGTTGCACCACTTCAGCCTGGGTGACAGAGCCTGTACCACTGCATTGTAGCCTGGGTGACAGAGTGAGACTCTGTCTAAAGAAAAAAAGAGGCTGGGCACGGTGGCTCATGCCTGTCATCCTGGCACTTTGGGAAGCCAAGGCAGGTGGATCACCTAAGGTCAGGAGTTTGAGACCAGCCTGGCCAACGTGGTGAAACCTTGGCTCTACTAAAACAAAGAAAACAGACAATAACAAAAAATTAGCTGGACATGGTGGTGGGTGCTTGTAATCCCAGCTTCTTGGGAGGCTGAGGTAAGAGAATCACTTGAACCCAGGAGGTGGAGGTTGCAGTGAGCCATGATCATGCCATTGTACTACAGCCTGGGTGACAGAGTGAGACTTTGTCTCAAAAAATAAAATAAATAAAAGAAAGAATTGCTGGCTCTGATCACAGAGTTGCAAAGAGGCAATGGTTATTTTTGCACATCCCCATTTTGTTGCAAGTCCGCCTACTACCACCACTGAAGTGATGCCCAAGAGAATTAAAGGGCTGGCACCATACTCCCCTTCTCCTTTTTTCCCCCTTTTGAAAGCCAGATATTGATGACCAGGGGCCAGGTGTGGTAACTCACACCTGTAACCTCAACACTTTGGGAGGCTAAGGCGGGTGGATCACTTGAGGTCAGGAGTGTGAGACCAGCCTGGCCAACATGGTGAGACCCCGTCTCTACTAAAAATACAAAAATTAGCTGGATGTGGTGGCCCATGCCTGTAGTCCCAGCTACTTCGGAGGCCAAGGCAGGAGAATTGCATGAACCTGGAAGGCGAGGTTTGCAGTGAGCAAAGATCGTGCCACTGCACTCCAGCTTGGGTGACAGAGTAAGACTCCATCTGAAAAAACAAAAAAAACAAAACAAAGAAAACAGATATTGATGACTAGGATGATCAAAAGCAACCAAATAGATGGGGGAAATTAAGAAGTCATTTACACGCCCAGGGGGATGCGGATGACTCAGTACAGTCATGTATTGCATAATGATGTTTTGGTCAGAGACAGACCTTGTAGATGACAGTGGTCCTATGAGATTATAATGGAGGCCAGGCATGGTGGCTTATGCCTGTACTACCAGTGCTTTAGGAAAGGGGGCTCTATTAAGGCCAAGAGTTCAAGATGAGCCTGGGCAACACAGCAAGACCTCCTCTCTACAAAAAAATATAAATAAATAAAAATTAGCTGGGCATGCTAGTATAAGCCTGTAGTCCTAGCTACTCGGGAGGCTGAGGTGAGAGGATTGCTTGAGCCTAGGAGTTTGAGGCTGCAGTGAGCTATGATCATGCCGCATCACTCCAGCCTTGGCGACAGAGCAAGACTCTGTAAAAAAAAATAATTAAGATTATTTGGCTGGGCATGGTGGCTCATGCCTGTAATCCTAGCACTTTTGGAGGCCAAGATAGGCAGATCACCTGAGGTCAGGAGTTTGATCAGCCTGGCCAACATGGTAAAACCCCTGTCTCTACTAAAAATACAAAATTAGGTGGGCATGGTGGCGGGCTCCTGTAATCCCAGCTACTCGGGAGGCTGAGGCAGGAGAACCACTTGAACCCCGGAGGCGGAGGTTACAGTGAGCCAAGATCACACCACGGTACTCTAGCCTGGGCAACAGAGTGAGACTCCATCTCAAAAAAAAGAAAAAAGACTCAAATTACTGAAATACTAAGATAAAAATGAAAGCAAGACTATTGCTCTCAATTCCACAGAAATGAAAAGGGTAGGCTGGGCATGGCAGCTCACATGTGTAATCCCTGTGCTTTTGAAAGCTGAAATGGGAGTGTCACTGGAGCCCAGGAGCTCAAACCAGCCTGGACAATATACTGAGACCCTGTCTATACAAAAAAAGAACACATGCCTGTAGTCCTAGCTACTCCGAAAGCGGACGTAAAATGATTGCTTTAGCCCAGGAATTCGAGCCTGCAGTTAACCATGAGTGTGTCACAGCATTCTAGCTAGGGTGACAGAGCCTGTCTCTCTCTCTTTTGAGACGGAGTCTTGCTCTGTCTCCAGGCTGGGGTGCAGTGGCATAGTCTTGGCTCACTGCTACCTCTGCCTCCCAGGTTCAAATGATTCTCCGACCTCAGCCTCTTCTGGGACTACAGGCTCACATCACCATGCTCAGCTAATTTTTGTATTTTTAGTAGAGGTGAGGTTTCACCATGTTGGCCAGGATGGTGTCGATCTCTTGACTTACGTGATACGCCTGCCTCGGCCTCCCAAAGTGCTGTGATTACAGGTGTGAGCTACCAAACCCAGCCAAGCCTGTCTCTTAAAAAGAGAGATCATAGGCCAGGCGTGGTGGCTTACACCTGTAATTTCAGGACTTTGGGTGGCTGAGGTGGGCGGATCCCTTGAGGTCAGGAGTTTGAGACCAGCCTGGCCAACATGGTGAAACCCTATCTCTACTAAAAATACACACAAAAAATTAGCCTGCTGTAGTGGCATGTGCCTGTAATTCCAAGCTACTCAGAAGGCTGAGGCAGGAGAATTGCTTGAACCAGGGAAGTGGAGGTTGTCGTGCCCTAGACTGTACCTTTGCACTCCAGCCTGGACAATAAGATTCAAATTCTGCCTCAAAAAAAAAAAAAAGAATAAAAAAAAGAGAGAGATTATAATAGAGTACTATAAGCAATTGTAGGCTGGTCTGAAAATAATGAATTATCTTAATTGATTGTTCACAGTCAGTTACAGATAGAACTTGTTCTACTCTTTCCCCTATCCTTACTATTGCACTTGACTAGTTTTTTTGGGGAAAAAAAACCAATAAACCAATTGTATGCCAACAAATTGGGGTAACCTAGATGAAATTGTCACATCCTAGAAACACAAAACCTACAAGACTAGATAAACTACTAAGAAATAGAAGATGCAAATAGTCTATAGCTCATAAGGAGATTGTATTTATGATAAAAAATGTCCCAACAAAGAAATCTCTGGACCTGATGACATCACTGGTGAATTCTATCAACATTTCAAGAAAAGCTAACACAGTCCTCAGACATTTTTTTTTAAATTTAAGTTCTGGTGTATATGTGCAGTTCGTGCAGGATTTGTTACAGAGGTATACACATGCCATGGTGGTTTGCTGCATCCAACATTGAAGAGGAGACAACACTCACTAATTCATTCTGTGACATTAGCATTATCTTTGACATAGTTTGGATATTTGTCCTCTCCAAATCTCAAGTTGAAATTTTATTTGCAGTGTTGGAGGTGGGTGGGACCTAGTGGGAAGTGTTTGGGTCATGGGGGTGTATCCCTCAGGAATGGCTTGGTACAGTCCCTATGTAATGAGTGCAATTTTGCTCTATTAGTTTACTCAAGAGCTGGTTGTTTAAGTGACACCTCCATCATCTCTCTTGCTTCCTCTCTTGCCGTGTGACGTACCTGCTTTTCCTTCATCTTCTGCCATGATTGAAAGTTGCGTGAGATCCTTATCAGAAGCAGATGTTTGAACCATGCTTCTTGTACAGCCTGCAGAACCATAAGCCAAATAAACTCTTTCCTTTGTAAATTACCCAGCCTCAGGTATTCCTTTTTAGCAATGCGAAATGGATGAATACAGCCTTGATACCAACGCCCTACAAAGATGCTATAAAAAATCTATACACTAATAGTTATTTATATATTTATTTATTTAGAGACAGAGTCTCATTCTGTCGCTGAGGCTGGAATGCAGTGGTGCAGTCTTGGTTCACTGCAACCTCTGCCTCCTGGGTGGCAGGAATCTCATGCCAGAGCCTCCCAAGTAGCTGGGATTACAGGCATGAACCACCAGGCTCAGCTAGGTTTTTAATTTTTATTAGAGACAGGGTTTTGCCATGTTGGTTAGGCTGGTCTCAAACTCCTGGCCTCAAGTGATCCACCCGCCTTGGCCTCCCAAAGTGCTGGCTTTACAGGCATGAGCCACTGTGCATGGCCTATAGACTAATATTTCTTAGGAACATTTATGTAAAAATCATCAACAAAATACAAACCAAATTTAGCAGTGTATTAAAAGGATTCTACACCATGACCAATAAGTACACGAAAAGATTCAACATTGCTAGTTAGGGAAATGTAAGTCAAAACTACAAGATACTACCTCATTCCCATTAGAATGGCTGCTATCAAGAGCCGCAGAAAATAATTGTTGGGAAAGATGTGGAAAAATTGGAACCGTTGCACACTGTTGGTAGTTGTGTCAAATGGCATAGCCTATGTGAAAAATTGTGGTGGTTCTTTGAAAAATTAAAAATAGAATTACCATATGTATCAGGATTTTCCAGAGAGACATAACCAATAGGGTATAGATGGATGGATGGATGGATGGACGGGTGAATGAGAGGGGATTTATTAGGGGAATTGGCTTACTCGATTATGGAAACTAACAAGAGCCATGATAGGCCATCTGCAAACTGGAGAACCAGGGATGCCAGTAGCATGGCTCAATCCAAGTCTCAAAGCCGCAAAACCGGGGAAACCAATGGCATAACTCAGACCAAGGCTGAAGGCCTGAAAACCTGGGAGGTTAATGGTGTAAGTCCTGGGGTCCAAAGGCTGGAGAACTGGAGTTCTGATTTCAAAGGGCAGGAGAAGGGTGTTCCAGCTTCAAGAGAGAAAATGAATTTACCTTTACTCTGCCTTTTTGTTCTATCTGGGCACGCAGCCCATTGGATGTTGCCCTGCCACATTGAGGGTGGATCTTAATACCTCAGTCAGCCTACTCACACACCAGGCTCCTCTGGAAACACCCTCACAGATACAGTCATAAATAATACTTTACCAGCTTTCTAAGTATCCTTTAATCCTGTCAAGTTGACACCTAAAAATCCTCATGCCATATGATCCAATAATTTTACTTCTCTGGAGGCTTAGTAGTTCCCCTTTATCTGAGGTTTCTCTTTCTGAGATTTCAGCTTCCCAAGATCAATTGCGGCCTATACAAATAGGTGAATATAGTGCAAAAAGATATTTTGAGAGAAAGAGAGAAACCACTTTAATTATTTAGAGACGGAATCTCATTGTGTCTCCCAGGCTGTAGTGCAGTGGTACCATCTTGGCTTACTGCAACCTCTGCCTCCCAGGTTCAAGCAATTCTTGTACCTCAGCCTCCCGAGTAGCTGAGATTACATGTGCCTGCCACCACAGCTGGCTAATTTTTGTATTTTTAGTAGAGATGGGGTTTTACCATATTGGCCAGGCTGGTCTCGAACTCCTGACCTCAAGTGATCTGCCTGTCTCAGCTTCCCAAAATGCTGGGATTACTAGTGTGAGCCACTGTTCTGGCCACATTTATATAATTTATTAACATATATTATTTATTTATTTATTTACTGCATTTTAGGTTTTGGGGTACATGTGAAGAACATGTAAGATTGTTGCACAGGTACACACATGGCGGTGTGGTTTGCTGCCTTCCTCCCCATCACCTATATCTGGCATTTCTCTCCATGTTATCCCTTCCCAACTCCCCACCCTGCACTGTCCCTCCCCTATTTCCAACCCCCACAGACCCTAGAGTGTGTGATGTTCTCTTCCCTGTGTCCATGTGTTCTCATTGTTCAACTCCCACCTATGAATGAGAACATGCAGTATTTGATTTTCTGTTCTTGTGTCAGTTTGCTGAGAATGATGGTTTCCACGTTCATCCATGTCCCTACAAAGGACATGAACTCATCGTTTTTGATGGCTGCATAGTATTCCGTGGTGTATATGTGCCACATTTTTCCTGTCCAGTCTATCATCGATGGGCATTTGGGTTGGTTCCAAGTCTTTGCTATTGTAAACAGTGCTGCAATGAACATTGGTGTGCATGTGTCCCTATAACAGAGCAATTTAGAATCCTTTGGCTATATACCCAGTAATGGGATTGCTGGGTCAAATGGAATTTCTATTTCTAGGTCCTTGAGGAATTGCCACACTGTCTTCCACAGTGGTTGAACTAATTTACACTCCCGCCAACAGTGTAAAAGTGTTCCTGTTTCTCCACATCCTCTCCAGCATCTGTTGTCTCCAGACTTTTTAATGATTTTCATTCTAACTGGCATGAGATGGTATCTCAATGTGGTTTTAATTTGCATTTCTCTAATGACCAGTGATGATGAGCATTTTTTCATATGTTTGTTGGCCTCATATATGCCTTCTTTTGTAAAGTGTTTGTTCATATCCTTTGCCCACTTTGAGTTTTATTTTTTATTTTATTTTATTTTTTTAAAGACGGGGTCTCACCCTGTTGGTCAGGCTGGTCTTGAACCCCTGATCTCAGGTGATCCACACGCCTTGGCCTCCAAAGTGCCTGGATTACAGGCGTGAGCCACCGCACCCAGGCGAGTTGTTTTATTACTAGTTGTTGTTAATCTCTTACTCTGCCTGATTTATAAATTAACTTTGCCATGGGTATATATGTACAGGAAAAAACACAGTATATGTGGGGTTTGATACTGTCTGTGGTTTCACACATCCATGAGAGTCTTGGATCCCTCCATCAGATGAGGATGACCTAATGTATACTCAAAAGAATTTAAAGCAGGATCTTGAAGAGATCTTTGTGTACCTAATGTTCATAGCGTTACTTAAAATGGCTAAAATATGGATATAGCCCATTGATGAAGGGATGAATGGATAAGCAAAATGCTGTAAGTACATATGACGGAATATTATTCAGCCTTTAGGGTGGCTGCTAGTAAAAAAGCAAAGTAACAAGTGTTGGCAAGAATATAGAGAAACTGGAGCCTTTATGCATTGCTGGTGGCAATGCAAAATGGTGCATCCATTGTGGAAAACACTATGGTGGTTCCTCAAAAAAATTAAACATAGAATTATGAAACATCAGTTCTACTTCTGAGTATATTCAAGACAATTGAAAGCAGTGACTTGAACAGCTATTTGTACACCCATGTTTAGCAACATTATTCACAATAGCCAAAAGGAGGGAGCAACGTAGATAAACAAAATGTATATAATACATACATACTGGATTATGATTCAACCATGAAAAAGGAGATTTTGATATGTGATTAATATGGATAAACCTTGGAACATTAGGCTGTGTGAAATGTCAGACACAAAAGGACAAATATATGATTCCACTGCCGTGAAATACCTCAAGTAGTCAAATTCATAATGACAGAATATTGAATAGTGGTTACTGGGGGAGGAAAGCATCCTTCAATTTGTTTTTGTCTGTCGTTTCCTCGTGCTTAGATTCAGGTTATGCACATTGGGCATTAATACCTAAGAAGCGATGCTGAGTTCTCTGTGTATCATATTAGGATGCACATGCTATTTATTGCTCCTGTTGCTGGCAATGTTACTTGAGTGGTAGGGTCCGGTTTTCTCCATCATAAAGATAATAGTTTGCCTTTTGTAGTAATGTATTGGGAGATGTTTTGAGACTGTAAATATCCTGTTCTTAAACTTTCACCTGTTAATTTTAGCATTCAGATGATTCTTGCCCTAATCAGTTATCTTTATGATCCTTGCCAAGTGATTTTCTCATTTTGCCCTTCCCTGTATATTTAATAATTGGCCTTCTACTGTAAGAAAGACCTATCTTTTAAAACAATGTAGACTCATAGATTCTTACTTTATTGAATACATTGTAATCTTCTACTATCACTATATATTTTGATGACAGTGTTCCAGATTTGGCCAGGAGAAACCCCTTCACAATGACTTGCACACAGAGAAGACTTTTAAAACTAGGTCTTGTTAATACTGTCCTAAGGTAACTATTAATATCACCCTTCTTCACTCACTAAGTATACCTGTCTTAGTGATAAATTATATGATCACGTTCTTTAAAACGTTCATCAGATCATGCCAGTTTTCTCCTGAAAAGTGTCCAGTAAAAAAAAAAGAGAGAAAGAAAAGTGTCCAGTAGTTTCACGTCTCACTTTTTTTTGTTTTAGTTTTTGTTTTGAGAGAAAGAAAGAAAAAAAAAAGGAGTGAAGGAGAGGAAGAAAAAGAGGGAGAGAGAACAGAAATGTTGCTTTATTCTAAAAAAAACGGGTGTTAATAATGGCCAATCAATGTTTCATTTAAACCTATGAATAGGTGTGATGTGGTATTGACAAGAATGTATATTTTGTGTATTTAAAGTGGAGGGCTCTATAAATATTTATTGAGTTTACTTGTTCTGGATCTGAGTTCGAGTCCTGGATATCCTTATTAATTTTCTGTCTCATTGAGTCTAAGTCTCTATGTATCTGGGTGTTAGGATCGTTAGCTCTTGTTGTTGCATTGATCCTTTTACCACTATATCTTTGTTGCTTTAAATCTATTTTATCAGATACGAGAATTGCAACTCCTGCTTTTTATTTATTTATTTATTTTTGCTCTCCATTTGGTTGGTAAATCTTTCTCCATCCCTTTGTTTTGAGTCTTTGTGTATCCTTGCATGTGAAATGGGTCTGGATGTAACATGCCATTGGGTTTTGGCTGTATCTTTTGATTGGGGGATTTAGTCAATTTAAGTTTAGATTACTGCCATTTGATGTTAACTGTTTTATCCATTCATTGATGTAAATTCTTCTTTATGTTGATGCTCTTTACTTTTTGGTATATTTTTAGAAAGGCTAATACTGGTTGTTTCTTTCTATGTGTAATGCTTCTTTCAGAAGCTCTTGTAAAGCAGGCCTGGTGGTAATAAAATCTCTGAGTACTTGCTTGTTCATAAAAGATTTTATTTTTCCTTCAGTTGTGAAGCTTAGTTTGGCTGGATATGAAATTCTGGGCTGAAAGTTCTGTTCTTTAAGGATGTTGAATATTGGCCCCCACTCTCTTCTGGCTTGTAGAGTTTCTGCTGAGAGATCTGCTGTAAGTCTGATAGGCTTGCCTTTGTGGGTAACCTGACCTTTCTCTCTGGCTGCCCTTAGTATTTTCTCCTTCGTTTCAACCCTGGTGAATCTAACGATTATGTGCCTTGGGGTTGCTCTTCTTGAGGAATATCTTTGTGGTGTTCTCTGTATTACCTGGGGTTGAATATTGTCCTGCTTTGCTAGTTTAGGAAAATTTTCCTGAATAATATCCTGAAGAATATTTTCCAGCTTGGATTCATTCTCTCTGTCGCATTCAGGTACACCTATCAAATGTAAATTTGGTCTTTTCACATAGTCCCACATTTGTTGGAGACTTTGCTCATTACTTTTTATCCTTTTTTCTTTAATCTTGTCTTCTCGTTTTATTTCATTAAGTTGGACTTCGACCTCTGATATCCTTTCTTCTGTTTGAACAATTCGAGTGTTTAAACCTGTGCATACTTCTCGGAGTTCCTGCATTGTATTCTTCAAGGTCCATTAATTCACTTATATTCCTCTCTAAGTTGTCTATTCTCAATAGGATTTCGTCAAACCTTTTTTCAAAGTTCTTAGTTTCTTTACATTGGGCTACAACATGTTCTTTTAACTCACAGAAGTTTCTTCTTATCCATGTTCTGAAGCCTGATTCTGTTATTGGGATGCGCTTGTTCTCCATCAAGTCTTGTTCCCTTGTTGATGAGGAACTGTGATCCTCTTTGGAGAGAGAGAGGCATTCTGATTTTGAGTATTCTCAGCGTTTTTACGCTGGTTTCTTCCCATCATTGTAAATTTATCCACCTGTCATCTTTGTAATTACCAACTTTCAAATCAGGTCTCTGAGTGGACGTCCAAGTTGTTAATTCCCAGGGCCAAAATATGAGCAACCCACTGCACTGGCCAAAACAGCAGCATTAAGATTGATGGTGCTTTTCTGCCCAGGAATCTCCAGTCTGGCTTCCTTCTTGAATCCGTAATAGGTGACTCTGCCTTCCTGGAGCTCCAAACCTCGGTCAGACGGAGAACCAGTCCCGTTTACTCTGCACCTAGAGCTGCCATGCCGAGGTGCTGGCACAACCTCTGCGCCGGCCACAAGAGTCGTGCTGGCGACCCGTGTGGCTCCTCCACTGGGAATCTTCTGCTCCGTGAGTGACCAAAATTTGTCTGAAAGTGTGGCATCCTCTCGTTCTCTGAGGTTTCACTGGGAGCTGCAATCCTGAGATGTAAGCGATCGGCCATCTTGGATCGTTCCCACATCTCACTTTGAATAGAAGCCACGGGTTTGGCAAGGATCCATATGGTCTGCTTCTCCAACCATTTTATATACTCTTCTCCCGGCTTGCTCTGCTGCAGCTGCACCTGATGTTGGGGCTCCATTCCCACCTCAGTGTCTTTGCATTTGCTGTTACTCTTCCCGAAACGTTCCTCTGTGTTTCTTCCTTCCTTCCTCTACGTTTCTGTTCACATGTCACTTTAGGAGGCCTTCTAACCTCCTTTATGTAAAATAGCAAGAGCCTCCTTCACCTCACCAGCATTCCTTGCTTTCTTTACTCTCTCTGCTTTATTTTTCCCTAACATCTGATTTGTAATTTATTTGTTGGCTTCTCTCCCCAACTTCATGCTTCATTAAAAAAAAGGGGATTTTCTTTTGTTCTCTGCTCTCTGCCTACCGTTAGAATAGTGCCCAATAAGTAGTTTGCACTGATTTGTTGAATGAATGAACTATCTCTCCATTTAAAAAAAAAAAAAAAAAAAAAGGCAAGTAGTGTAGCAGTTCCTGAGGCAACGATCTCTCTTCGTTGAGACCTGAGTCTCTTCATTGAGACCAGTTTTGGCCCTTTTGTTGTTGTTTGCTGTGCTTTTTCAGGACTTTTTTTCCCTTAATTTCTCCCCACTTCAATTATCACCTGTCCGTCTTCCAGATCTTCTCTCTTTGTCTCAGAGTTGGTCAGTTGTTACTGTTCTTTACTTTCCCTTTCATTCTAAGTCTCTTATGATGGACATTGTGTTTAGATGAGATTTACCTGCTTTACTACAAAGGTTTTCCATCTCTTTTTAAATTTTAAAATTAAAAAAGAAATTTATGTCATTACTTTTTTTTTTTGAGTGGAGTCTTGCTGTGTCGCCCAGGCTGGAAGTGCAGTGGCTCAGTCTTGGCTCACTACAGCCTCTGCCTCCCAAGTTCAAGCGATTCTCATGCCTCAGCCTCAAGTGATTCTCATGCCTCAGCCTCCCAGGTAGCTGGGATTACAGGCATCCACCACCATGCCCGGCTAGCGTTTTTGTATTTTTAGTAGGATTAGTCTTTCCTAGGAGGAGGAACTTTGCCCTCATTGTATCAAGAGCAAAAGAGAAGATGGTTTCAAGGAGAGGTAGGTTTGTAGGTTTAATAGGGGAAGAAGATGCTTAAAAATGTATGAGAAGGGCTGGGTGCAGGGCTCACACCTGTAATCCCAGCACATTGGGAGGCCAAGGCAGGCAGATCACAAAGTCAAGAGATCGAGATAGAGATCTTCCTGCCCAGTGATTTTAGAAATGTAATAAAAGAGCCTAGTACTAATGATGCCACAGGTGATGTTTTCAATTAGCAATGTTTTAATGAGGTTTGTAGGCTGGTAAGAGCTAATCCTATAAAGTATGGAACAAAACTGAGAAGGTAGGCCTGTATCTGGTAAATCTCCTGAGGTAGGGTTTTGCTGATTCAGATTTCTTTGATTAAATTTTTAATATCTTACAAGTTCCCTGGCAGTAAATTTGTATTTTACATAGATGCTTTTCAGCTTCCAAATAAAATAAGGTTAGCAGAAATTAGATGTATTTAGTGACTTTATAAGCTAAAGGAAAATAAAAGCACATTTCTGGTAGATGTAATTAATTCATAGTTGGCAAATAATTCAGCAGAGTAGAAATGTAAGAGACTCAAAGACTTGAGGAGAAAAAAGGGAAATCAGCTTCATTTTTTGGTAAACTTTAAGATGTATGTAATGAAATGTACATCTGGCATATTGCAAGTGATCTAAACTGATCTCATAATTGTGCTGAAGAAATAGAAAGATTTGTACTCCAGAAGCATTACTTAAAGTGCTTAAAGGACATTAAGCCCCGCTGGGCGCAGTGGCTCACGCCTGTAATCCCAGCACTTTGGGAGGCCGAGGAGGGCGGATCACGAGGTCAAGAGATCCAGACCATTCTGGTCAACATGGTGAAACCCCGTCTCTACTAAAAACACAAAAAATTAGCCAGGCATGGTGGCGCATGCCTGTAATTCCAGCTACTTGGGAGGCTGAGGCAGGAGAATCGCCTGAACCCAGGAGGTGGAGGTATGGTGAGCCGAGATTGCACCATTGCACTCCAGCCTGGGTAACAAGCAAAACTCCGTCTCAAAAAAAAAAAAAAAAAAAGAACATTAAGCCCAATTTTGACATCTGGGAAAAAGTTCCGGAATTAGTATCCCCAAAGAAAGACTATCAAATAACAGCTATCTCTATGAGGGACAGCATAAAATACAGATATGGTATAGTTTTTTGTTGTTCATTTGTTTTTGAGGCAGAGTCTCAAACACAGGCACAGAGTTTCTGTTGTCCAGGCTGAAGTGCAGTGGCACAGTCTCAGCTCACTGCAGCCTCCTCTCCCAGGTTCAAGCAATTCTGCTTCCGCCTCTCAGCTGGCTGGGACTATGGGCTACAGGTGTGTGCCACCATGCCTGTCTTTTTTTTTTTTTTTTTTTTGTATTTTTAGTTGAGACAGGGTTTCACCATCTTGGTCAGGCTAGTTTCGAACTCCTGACCTCAAGGGATCCACCTGCCTTGGCCTCCCAAAGTTCTGGGATTACAGGCAGGATTACACTGCATCCAGCATATGGTATAGTTTTTATCTACTGCTAACTTGTGTTTCCATGTTCCTGCTTTGGAACTGGAGGGGAATGGAGGTAAGCTACTCAGGGCAGTTGCATAAAACACCTGCTATAAACATACTAGGTCTTTTCAAGTTATGTCATTTTTACTATATATTTTTAAATAATTTCTTTGTGCTTCCTTGAGTATTAGTAATACTGTAAAGACAGTGAGCTGGAGAGGAAGAAAACAATAGGGGTTTGAGAAAAATTTAGTGTGGTATTGCTGTGAAGAGATAGAAATCTAAATTTAGATGACAATGATATTATGCTCTGTCAGGGAACCTTCTCTTTTTGACTCATCCAGGCTGGAGTGCAATGACCTCTGCCTCCTGGATTCAAGCGATTCTCCTGCTTCAGCCTCCAGAGTAGCTGGGATTACAGGCACCTGCCACCAGACCTGGCTAATTTTTAAATTTTTTTTTATTTTTAGTAGAGACGTAGTGTCACTATGTTGGCCAGGCTGCTCTCAAACTCCTGACCTCATGATCCACCTGCCTTGGCCTCCCAAAGTGCTGGGATTACAGGTATGAGCCACCTCGCCCAGCCCAGGGAACCTTCTTTAACTTGTTTATTGCTATATTCCTGCCACCTAAAACAGGGTCTGTGCTTTGAGCACATAGCAAGTGCTCAAAGACTATTTGATGAATTCAAAAAAGAAGAAAAGGTTTTGAAGGGATATACTGATACGTCAGACTGCTTTCTCCCTAGTAGTGGTGATGGGTATGTGTAGACCTGAACAAATTCGCTAACCCTTTGTGGTAACGTTTCAAGATACTTCACTGAAGACCTCTGTAAAGTCAAGTCTTGCTATCAAAAGCTGGTCATCCTAGATGACATAGAGATCAAACCCATTCATTATCTTAGTTTATCAATACATAGCACTGAGTAATTAAGCTCACCAATCCCTCCTCCCATTTGGATTTAGTTGACATGGGATACGGTGTGGAAGGGATTTTTTAAAACTCCCCAGGTGATTCTAATGTGCTGCTAAGATTGAGAGCCAATGCTGTTTAGATGCCTTTCATACATACCTGACTTGAATTTAGTAATATAATATACAAATACAGCACAAGATGATTTGCAAACGATTTTATTTCTAAATACATTCTGACTTAAAAAGCAGGATCTGAATTGTAATTATAGTGGAGTGGGGTTTTTTTGTTTGTTTTTGGTTTTGTTTTGAGATGGAGTCTCCCTCTGTTAACCCGGTTGGAGTACAGTGGCACCATCTTGGCTCACTGCAACTTCCGCCTCCCAGGTTCATTCTCCTACCTCAGCCTTCCAAGTAGCTGGGACTACAGGCGACCATCACCACACCTGGCTAATTTTTGTATTTTTAGTAGAGACAGGGTTTAACCATGTTGGTCAGGCTGTCTCAAACTCCTGACCTGAAGGGATCCGCCTGCCTTGGCCTCCCAAAATGCTAGGGTTACAGGTATGAGCCACTGTGCCCTGCCTTGAATTGTAGTTTTTTTGTTTTTTTTTTTTTTTGGAGACTGAGTCTTTTTTTTTTTTAAGGATTCTTGCTCTGTTGCCCAGCACAGTGACAGCTCACTGCAGCCTCAACTTCTTAACCTCCAGGGTTCAAGCAGTCCTCCCACCTCAGCCTCCTGAGTAGCTGGGACTACAGGTACGCACCACTATGCCTGGGTAATTTTTATATTTTTTTTTTTTTTATAGACACAGGGTCCTACTACATTGCCCAGGCTGGTTTTGAACCCTTGGGTTCAGGCGATCCTCCTGCTTCCCAAGTGCTGAGATTATAGGCATCAGCACAGTGCCCAACCCGTATTTGTTTGATTATACATTTTAGTGGATATCATTCCTGTTCCTAAGTAGCTGAATTACAGTATGATCTTTTAGACTTGTCTTTTATTATGTTCACTTTTAAAATACTGTTAAAGGAACTGTAAATAAACTTGATTTAATTGAGTACAAAGTTCTAAGGGGCATGAAAGACTAGGGCAGTGTTTTTTCCAAACTTCACATTGTAGAAAACATTTAAAATTAAGTCAAATAGAAAATACCAAGGCCAGGCGTGGTGGCTCACACTTGTAATTCCAGGACTTTGGGAGGCTGAGGCTGGTGGATCGCTTGAGCTCACAAGTTCAAGACAGCCTGGGCAACATGGCAAGACCCCATTTCTACTAAAAATACAACAAAAAAAAAAATAGCTGGGCGTGGTGGTGCATGCCTGTAGTTCCAGCTACTCAGGAGGCTGAGGTGGGAGAATGGCTTGAGCCCAGGAGGCAGAGATTGCAGTGAGCCAAGATCGTGCCACTGCACTCCAGCCTGTGCAATAGAGCCAGACCTTGTCTCAAAAAAAAAAAAAAAAAAAAGAATGAAAAATACTGAAATTAATATATATTGTTTTGTGAAACTGTTCTCAGTTTTGTAGACGCACAAACATATGTACGTGTCTACTGGGTCTGAATATAAAATGGCTTACTTAATATGAATGGTATTATAAGATATTTAAGCCACAAAACTAAAGAGCATATGACAAGATGGAAGAAAGGAGATGGTTGTTTCATCATTCCTCTAATTAGGGCTAGACTGATTGTTACACACATTTATATTCTCCTTTTTCTCTCTTATACATTTTTTGTTTGTTTTCTTACCCAGTTGCCTAATTTTTGGATCTGGCCATTTTGTTCACGTTCTTTAACACTGCTTCTTTTTTTTTTTTTTGAGGCAGGGTCTTGCTCTGTCACCCAGGCTGCAGTGCAGTTGCACAATCTTGGCTCACTGCAACCTCCACCTCCTGGGTTCAAATGATCTCCTGCCTCTCTGCCTCCCAAGTAGCTGAAATTACAGCTGTGTGCCACCACTCGAGGCTAATGTTTGTATTTTTATTAGAAACAGCATTTCACCATGTTGGCCAGGGTGGTCTCAAACTCCTGACCTCAACTGATCTGCCTGCCTCAGCCTCCCAAAGTGCTGGGATTATAGGTGTAAGCCACCATGCCTGGCCAACACTGCTTCTTTACTTAAAGAGTGAAAACAAGGGCTGGGCATGATGACTCATGCCTGTAATCCCAGCACTTTGTGGGGCCAAGGCAGCAGATTGCTTTAGTCCAGGAATTTGAAACCAGTCTCAGTCTGGGCAACATTGCAAAGCCTCATCTCTACAAAAAAAATATAAATTAGCTGAGCGTGGTGGCACACATCAGTAGTTCCATCATTTTGGGGAGGCTGAGGTGGGAGGATTGCTTGAGCCAAGAGGCTGAGGCTATCGTGAGTAGTGATTACACCACTGTACCCCAGCCTGGGCAACAGAGCAAGACTATCTCAACCAAAAAAAAAAAAAAAGAGAGAGAGTCAAAATAGGTATATTTTATTGGCAATGTAGTTCAAGGCTTTATAGCATTAACTTGCTTTAAAAGGTAATTTATGAGATGTCATATTGTAATGTGAGATGGTTTTGTGCTTTGTTGTTTATTTTTTCTTAAATGTCATACAGTAGCTTTTGGAATGTACCTTTTTTTTTTTTGAGATGGAGTTTTGCTCTTGTTATCCAGACTGGAGTACAATGGCATGATCTCGGCTCACCGCAACCTCTGCCTTCTGGGTTCAAGCAATTCTCCTGCCTCAGCCTCCCGAGTAGCTGGGACTACAGGCACGCACCACCATGCCCAGCTAATTTTTGTATTTTTAGTAGAGACGGGGTTTCACCTCGTTGACCAGGATGGTCTCGATCTCTTGACCTTGTGATCCATCCGCCTCGGCCTCCCAAAGTGCTGGGATTGCAGGCGTGAGCCACCGCATGTGGCCTGGAATGTACCTTTTTTTTTCAGTTGAACTGTTCTGAGTAAGGTTGACTTAGTATTTTCCTTTTCATATTCACCATTACTAGAAGTTTTGTTGCAGAACAAATAATTCTTTAGAAGCTTTGGAATTAGAGACTGTTCCACTATTTTATTACATAACAAACCACCCACAAAAACTTTGTGGCTCAAAACAACAATGGCTTCTCATGAATCTGTGGGTTGATTGTGCAGTTCTCCTTCACGTAGTATCAGCAGGCTGAGGCTGCAGTCATTTTGAGGCCCAGGCTGGGACATTCAAGATAGCTCACTCACATGTTTGGTGCTGGGCTCTGCTGAGACACTGAGTTGGCTGGACCTCGCTCTCTCCATATAGTCTCAGGGTCTCTCCCTCTCCACTTAGCCACTCCATGTGGTTGCTGCAGCAGAGTAGCCAGACTTCTTACTAGCAGTTCCCAAAAAGTGCAAAGGTAAAAGCTAGCAATTCTTAAAAACTAGTCCTGGCCGGCACGGTGGCTCATGCCTATAATCCCAGCACTTTGGGAAGTCGAGGCAGGCGGATCACGAGGTCAGGAGTTCAAGACCAGCCCGGCCAGCATGGTGAAATCCCATCTCTACTAAAAATACAAAAAATTAGCCGGGCATGGTGGTGCTTGCATGTAATCCCAGCTACTCAGGAGGCTGGAGCAGGAGAATCACTTGAGACTCTGTCTTAAAAAAAACCAAAAAGACTAGTTCCTAAACCAGAACTTGCACACTGCTACTTCTTTCACATTCTTGTTGTTAATGCAAGTTACCAGCTCAGATCCGGTGTGGAGGGAGTGCTATGAAAGGGTGTGAATACAAAGAACTATGAATCATCCAAGACCATCTTTGGAGATTAGCCACCAAAGGGACATTTAGCAGCCTAGTGATGAAATCTCGGGCAGTTTTTATGATGTTTAAATAATCCAAATGTTAAGACTACATTTGGATTATTTAGCCTTTATTTATATTCATTTCCGCTCCCCATCAACCAGTTCCTCTATTTCAGCATCTGTTTTGTTCTATTGCAGTTAGATAGGAACTAGCTAGCAACTGTTTAGCTGTAAGTTAGGCATGACTGAAAAAGAATTTAAGTAAATTAGTTAGGGACAAGTGAGTACAAAATAGAATAGATGATGTCATAAACTTTGTGTTTATGATGATAAAGTAGTAAGAGCGTAAAAAGATGTACCATTTATTTACTGTTGCTGAAACACTGAAGACCAAAAGAACAGAAAAAGAAGAGGAAAGGAAAGATAAAATAATTTTATTTAAAAAAATCAATATGTGGTTTTTCATATTTACAGTAGTACCTGAGACTTAATAGGTAATACATCTTTGAATGACTGAAGTTTTCTTTTCAGCAGGAGAGTTATCATTCATGGCCACCCTGAGTGAAAAAAAATATTTTTAAAGGGAGTTATTGGTATTTCAGACAATATATATTTTACTCAGTTAGTTTATAGACAAGTTAGAAGATCTGAGAGTGTCATTCATTATACTTTGAGCATAGTTCACCTTTGGCCAAGTGGATGTTCATAAGATGTAGATGTTCTCTAAGAACTGAAAACCTTTTATATCTTAACTTTAACTAAGAATACCATTTTTAGGAATTGTTTGTGATAGAAAAAAACTACACTGATGGGTCTGTTGTATTTGGTATACAGAAGATTTAGTATGCCTAGATGTTTTGTATGCCTTTATTATAATTTTTCGAGAATTATTACTTTTTTCTTTTTTTGAGACAGTCTTACTCTGTTACCCAGGCTACAGTGCAGTGGCACGATCTTAGCTCACTGCAACCTCTGCCTCCCAGGTTCCAATGATTCTCCTGCCTCAGCCTCCCAAGTAGCTGGGATTACAGGCCCCCATCACCATGTCCAGCTAATTTTTATATTTTTAGTAGAGACAGGGTTTTGCTATGTTGGCCAGGCTGGGTCTCAAACTCCTGATCTCAGGTGATCCACCAGCCTCGGGCTCCCAAATTGCTAGGATTACAGGCATAAGCCACTGTGCCTGGCCAGTTTTTTAAAAGTATAGACAGGTTTATAAGCCAAGTTGGCTTAGCCAGTATATAGGCTTTTATAGTTATCATTTGGCTCTGCCCTCTAAGATAGCAGATGGAAAATATCAGAGGACACTACATGCCAGTTAGTATTTCTAATAATAAATAGGATTCCTAAACACAGCCCAATGCAGCTTTTTTTTTTCTTCTTTCTTTTTTTAAGATGGAGTCTTGCTCTGTCACCCAGGCTGGAGTACAGTAGCACAGTCTCGGCTCACTGTAGCCTCTGCCTCCCAGGTTCAAGCAATTTTCCTGCCTCAGCCTCCTGAGTAGCTGAGATTACAGGCACGCGCCACAATGCCTGGCTAATTTTTATATTTTTAGTAGAGACGGTGTTTCAACATGTTGGCCAGGCTGGACTCAAACTCCTGACCTCATGTGATCCGCCTGCCTCATTCTCCCAAAGTGATGGGATTACAGGCGTGAGCCGCTGCGCCTGGCCAACGGCTTCTTTTTTTATGTTGTTTTTGTGTTTATAGTTTTTTTTGTGATGGGGTCTCACTCTGTTGCCCAGGCTGGAGTACAGTGGCACAGTCATGGCTCACTGCAGCCTTCACCTCCCAGGTTCAAGCAGTCCTCCTACCTCAGCCTCCCTACTAGCTGGGATTGCAGATGCACAGAACCATACCCAGCTAATTAAAAAAATTTTTTTTGTAGAGTGGTGTCTTATTTTTTTACCCAGGCTTGTCCCAAATGACTCATCTCGAGCAGTCCTGCTTCTGTCTCCCAAAATGCTGGGATTACAGATGTGAGCCACTGTGCCTGGCCCCAATGCAGCTTCTTTTTTTTTTTTTTTCTTCCAATTTTAGAACATTTTTATCATGCCAGAAAGATTCCCTGTGCCCATTTTCCTTCCAACGTAACTTCTAATACCTGAACAGTCTCAAAACATTTAGTCTTTTTAGAATAATAAAATCATAGAACTGATTTGGAGACCCTTTTAAAGAAGTCAACTCATCCCACCCTGAGCTATCGAAATCTCTTTGCAGAATAGAACTAAAAAGACTTACTTGCTCACAACCAAGATCCTCTTTCCCTTCAGTTACCCTACATATGACGTGGCGTGAGGTCACCTCACTTACCCTTCTCTCTCTCCTTAGATTTTTTACGTTCTCTCAAATTTGTACACTTAGTTATAAGCATATTCAAGTGTAGTCTGATTTGCAGAGAATGCCATTTTCTTCATTCAGACTTTGCTTTTAATGAAACCTGATATTAGTGATTCTGGCAGCTGTGCCACACTGTTTGTCTCTTTGAAATAGGCTTTTTAAATTTGAAATAGGCTTTTTAAAACGCCTAGTCATTTCTCACTGTCCTGTGCCATTTTGTTGTTAATGTTGATTTTTTTGTTCCAAGCTCATGACTTTATATTTGTCCTTATTAAAAGGATCCCTTAAATTTAGCCTCCTATTCCAGCCACTTAGGGTTAAAAGTTGATTATGTCATACAGGGTATTTACTTTCCCATCCCAGATTCCTGTCATGTGCACATTTGATCATCCTCCTTTTCCATTTCCTTGTCATCCAAGTCATTTATAAAAAAAGTTACAGAGGACAGGTTGCTCTGGGGCCCTGTGGGAGTCTACTGAGCTTTCTTCCAGATTTATCTGCACTCTTTTTTTTTTTTTTTTTTGAGGTAGAGTCTCACTCTGTTGCCAGGCTGGAGTGTGGTGCAACCTCAGCTCACTGCAACCTCCACCTCCTAGGTTCAAATGATTCTCTTGCCTCAGCCTCCCAAGTAGCTGGGACTACAGGCATGTGCCACCATGCCCAGCTAATTATTGTATTTTTAGTAGAGACAGGCTTTCACCACGTTGGCCAGATGGTCTCCATCTCTTAACCTCGTTATGCACCCACCTTGGCTTCCCAAAGTGCTGGGATTACAGGCATGAGCCACCGCACCCGGCTTCCCAAAGTGCTGGGATTACAGGCATGAGCCACCGCACCCGGCTTCCCAAAGTGCTGGGATTACAGGCATGAGCCACCGCACCCGGCTTCCCAAAGTGCTGGGATTACAGGCATGAGCCACCACGCCCGGCCTAGCTGCACTCTTTAGGTACAGTTGTATGGTCATCTGTGAAGCCACTTAACTTTTAAGTTGAAAAAATTATATATTTTTTCACCTTGCACAATGATATCAAGAGAGACTTTATTTTATCCATTACTAAAATCCTATACTATATTCATACCTATAGCATTTGCTGGCCTAACCATATAAAAAAAGGAAAATGGAGTTTGGTTGTGGCTTCTAGATGTTCCCAATACTAGTTTTTATTAATAACTATTCTTTTAGTAACCTATTCTGCAGTCTTGCTTGTCCTGCATATCATATCACTCTGGTATAAGATACGGAGAATGTGATCTCCCTTCTTTTTGAAAATTGCAGCTGACTCTCTTTTCAGACTCAGCCCGCCTGCACCCAGATGAATTAAAAAAAAAAAAAAAAAGAAAGAAAAGCAAATTGCTTCTGCAGGCTGGGCACAGTGGCTCACGCCTGTAATCCCAACACTTTGGGAGGCCGAGGTGAGTGGATCACTTGATGTCAGGAGTTCGAGACCAGTCTGGCCAACATGGTGAAAACGCATCTCTATTAAAATACAAAAATTAGCCAGGAGTGGTGGTGCATACATGTAATCCCAGCTACTCAGCAGGCTGAGGCTGGAGAATCTCTTGAACCTGGGAGGCAGAGGTTGTGGTGAGCCAAGATCGCATCACTGCACTCCAGCCTGGATGGCAGAGTAAAACTCCATCTCAAAAAAAAAAATAAAATTGCTTCTGCAGACACACAAAGCTAATGTGATTTTTGGGTTTATTAGAATCATAAGGTTTGTCTGAGTTTCCAGAGTGTCACTCATGGATCTCATCTGCAGATTCTTCAAATTCTCTGGTATAGAATTCTTCCAGGAGGTTCTCATTCATTTAAGCAGATAGGCACCCTTTGATAGTCTCCTTATTTATCTTGGTCACTAATCTCCTTTTCCTAATATTTTTTCTTTTCTTTCTACTTTCAAGGTGATTTTTCTTGACAGAAAAGATAGAAGAAAAACAGGGATTGAGATGTTCTGTCTCTGCTTTATATTAATTAATAATATGCCATTGACATCAAAGAGTGGGCCTGTGCCTTCCTTACCTTTTTTGCAAGTCTCAGCACATCCTGGGCTTCAGCTTCAGCTTCCTTTTTGATGACACATCAGTGCAATTTGTAAAAATAGTTTCTTTCTTTTTATATATGTCGTGCATGCCTGTCTGAGTTGATTGGTGAGCTTTCCAGCTCGTCTCTTTAGATAAGCCCCCTCTTTTTTCCACCTCTATCTCATAATGTGAGATTTGCCAGAATTTCATTTTTGAGAACCTTAATCCTGTTGTCTTCCCTTTTAGCACCTCACACCATGGCCTAAGGTCCTGTCTCCTTGACTGGTTGAAGCCTGTTCTCGGTGTCTAGTTGCTACATCTAGCTGTGCACCTTGCCGGTCTGCCTGCCTGTCTGCCTTGGATGTTTTCTTTTGGAGGCTTCCACTACTTCTTTTCTGATCAATTTTTTTAATTCAAATTAGGTTCCAAATTAACATTCTACTCATTTCTTATACCTTCTGGATGATAGAATAATTTGCAAGGCAAATTTTAAAAATCATATATGCTGCTTGTTAGTTGAATGAGATCTTTCAGTAGCAGAAATCTTTTATCATTATTTGTGACAGAAGGTAAGCCATTTTCGCCTTTACTAGATAGTTAGGACATCTCACTATCTTTATGGTAAAACCGTAGGGCCATCTCTCCTTGCCAGGTCTCCTTCCTGATTTGACCTACATCCTTCCCACAAATCCCAGAAAATCAGTCTATTTTCTTAAAGTTGTTATGACCAATTGTTTGCCAAATATTGTTTTCTTTTGAAGCTGGCCTCAGAGTAGGGTGTAGTCTCTTCAGCAGTTGCCCTTCCAGGCTGTAGCTAGCATAGGGATGTTAGTATGCTTTTATTTCAAATGCTTTATTTTCATCATTTAGTGGAGGCTAAGTGGGGGTTACAAATAGGGACATTGAAGTTATCTTCTTGTCTCAAGTTAGTTTCTAGCTTCCTTAGATGCTATCTACTGCCTTTCTTACTCAAGGTAGCACTCTTCAATCCTCTCCCTCTCCCTTTTCTAGGCTCTTTCTAGAACAGAGCATCTCAAACAGCTGGTAGGCCTGAAGGAAGAAAGCTAAACCATAGTTATGAACTAGGAGAGACCGTTCAGGGGCTGCCTCTTCTCAAGAGGGTAATTTATACCTCAGGGGACCATGAAACAGCTCTTTGTGGAATCCTAGATCACTCCCGATATTGTTCCTCTTACTTTCACTCAGTTGCTTTCTGCTGTGTCTCCATGCTCAGGTGTGGATTTCCATTTAGGGTGTACATTTTTAACATATACTCAACTTATCCTTTTAACAGGTGTGATTTCTATATCTTTATATTTTGATCAGAGATAGGATAAGATCAAAAATTCTGAAATGATAGCCGAGTATTGTTCAGTGCTGAGTATTATGGTGAATGCAAACAACCTGTCAAAGGACAGAACTACAGCAAATGTAAACATCCCGAGTGGCTTTATTTGTGATTCTAGAATTGAGCAAGACATCATCCATAGAACAGAGTAATTTTTCCAGTGAGCTGAGCAGAAGAGGTTAGACAGAAGGACCAAAGAAAGCAGAAGCAAAGAACAGAGTGTATTGGTTACTTTTCAGAGTTATTTTTTCTTGTAAGGCTGGGAGAGGGAGACAGAACAATAGAAAAATAACTGATTGATTCATCTAGAGGTCAGAATGGAAGCAGGTGTGAGAGGGTCCAGCAGAAGAAACCATGGCTGCCAAAGTGTTTCAGTCCATTGTAAGTTTGCCCTGGCCTTAGCTCTTGCAGGAGGCGTGGTGAACTCTGCCTTATATAATGTAGATGCTGGGCACAGAACTGTCATCTTCAACCGGTTCCAGGACAAAAATAATAGGACATTGTGGTAGGGGAAGGGACTCACTTTGTCATCCCATGGGTACAGAAACTAATTCTCTTTGACTACTCTTCTTGATCACATAATGTGCCAGTCATTGCTGGTGGCAAAGATTGACAGAATGTCAACCTCACACTGTGCATCCTTTTCCGGCCCCTTGCTAGCCAGCTTCCTCGCATCTTCTCCAGCATTGAAGAGGACTATGATGAGCTTGTACTGCAGTCCTCTCTGTCCATCACTACAGAGATCCTCAAGTCAGTGGTGGCTCACTTTGGTGCTGGAGAGCTAATCACCGAGAGATGGTGGGTCTTCAGGCAAGTGAGCGACGGAGCAAGCAGCCACCTTTGAGCTCATCCTGGATGATGTGTCCTTGACGCATCTGACCTTTGGGAAGGAGTTCACAGAAGTGGTGGAAGCCAAACAGGTGGCTCAGCAGGAAGCAGAGAGGGCCAGATTTGTGGTGGAAAAGGCTGAGTAGAAAAAGGCGACCATCATCTCTGCTGAGGGCGACTCCAAGGCAGCCGAGCTGATTGCCAACTCACTGGCCACTGCGGGGGATGGCCGGATCGAGCTGCACAAGCTGGAAGCCGCGGAGGACATCATGTACCAGCTCTCACACTCTCAGAACATCACCTACCTGCCAGCAGGGCAGTCCTTGCTCCTCCAGCTGCCCCAGTGAGAACCCACCCTACCTGCAGCTCCACAGGGTGACTAGGCCACAGCCCCGATGACTCTTAACACAGCCTTCCTTCTCTCCCTACCTCAGAAATCACTGTGAAATTTCGTGATTGACTTAAAGTGAAGGCAATAAAAGTAAAATCACTTCAGATCTCTAAAAAACAAAAAGGCTGGGCGCGGTGACTCACGCCTGTAATCCCAGCACTTTGGGAGGCTGAGGTGGGTGGATCGCGAGGTCAAGAGATCGAGACCATCCTGGTCAACATGGTGAAACCCCATCTCTACTGAAAATACAAAAATTAGCTGGGCATGGTGGCATGCGCCTGTAGTCCCAGCTACTCGGGAGGCTGAGGTAGGAGAATTGCTTGAACCCAGGAGGTAGAGGTTGTGGTAAGCCGAGATCGCGCCATTGCACTCCAGCCTGGGTGACAAGAGTGAAACTCCGTCTCAAAAAAAAAAAGAAAAGAAAAAGAAGAAAAAGAAAAATCACTGATTAGTTGGGCAAGGTGGCTCATACCTATAATCCTAGCACTTTGGGACATTAAGAGAGGAGAGCTTGAGCTCGAGTTCAAGACCAGCCTGAGTAACATGATGAGACCCTGTCTTTACAAAAAATTTGAAAATTAGCTGGACATGGTGGAGCACACCTGTAGTCCCAGCTACTTGGGAGGCTGAAGCTGGAGGATCCCTTGAACCTAAGAATTGAAGGCAGCAGTGAGCTTTGATCATGCCACTGTGCCCCCGCCTGGGTGGACAGAGTGAAACACCATCTAAAAAAAAAAAAGAAAGAAAGAAAGTAGCTGGTTGGTTAACCTAGGTTGCTTCAGGCTACCATTTTTGTGTGAGGATTAAAGCAGAGGGAACTTCATTATCATGCTGTTTGAAGATTTAAACTGTCCTATTTGGGAAATAGGTGTTCTCTCTCTCCTGATTTCTTAGAAGATCAGATAGCTTAGTCTAGGTTTAAGGATGTAGAACTTAACATGAACGACTCCATTTTTATTTGTAGTCTGGTCTGTTGGGGCCTCGTATAGGAGTCTAGTGGCCTCCTATAATTTTTTACTTAACAAAAGTATATATCATATGAATCAATATTTGCTAAGAACATGAAAGAGAAGTCTTCCTTTCAAATAGCTTATGTTTCATTGAAATGAATTAATCCAGGCATGTCGGCTTATGCCTGTGATCCCAATACTTTGTGAGAAGAGGTGGGAGGATTGAGGCTTGGAGTTTGAGACCACCCTGGACAGCATAGCAAGACCCCCATTTCTACAAAAAACGTAAAAATAAGAAATGAATATGTAAAGCAATCAGAAAATACAATAAAATGTTAAATTATACATTGGCAGCAAGTACTTAGAATCTACCAGAATGGGTTTGGGTTTTCCTTATCCGAACTCACCCCTGAGGAAAGAGCAGACTTTTGTATTTCCAAAATTGTTTCTGGATATGCTTGTTTTTGTTTTGGTATAAATAGGGACCTAGAATTATATTTACAGTGACCTTTAGCCTCTATCTCTAGGAAAGTGGAACTGAATAGGTACTCTTTTGTTCCCACAGCAGTCTAAAAGGAAATTCGGTGTAGCAAGAATATGAATAATTGAAATATGTTTGGAGTTTATAGATCTTAAATTCTGATGAGGAAATATAGTCTTGTGTATTTGGTTTGGCTGTGCTATTTTGAGTTAATTTTAGGGGTAACGTTGAGAATCAGCTTTAGAATTCCAGCCCCAGATGACAGTCTTTTGCTTAGTCATGGGTTATGTATAATGCCACATGATCCTGAGAAGACTAGGATCGGTTGCTATTTATTAACCTTGGTTGGCAGTGATACTTGAGAAGAAAAACTAACCACCATACATTCGTAAAGGTTGAACTGTTGCTACATTTCAAAATCCGATTTGCCTTGTTACCTGGTAATCTTCACTAATCTTTTAAGGAATCATCAGATGTGATGTATTTGAGAATGATAAGGCAGTAAAGACTTCCAGATGCTAACACTTTGTTTCTTAAGTTTTGTGGTGTTTTGCTTTATTTTCTATACTTTTTATTATGGGAGCACTGGTAACTTCCTGATCTTGAGAAATAAAAGAACTAGAACACAGTGATTTTTTAGAAAACTCTGTTTCTACAGTTTTAAATAGTCTCAAGGGAACAATAATATGTTTCATGTGACAAATTAATATGGACAGGAAGAAGGATTCCCTCAACATTTTCCACTCTTAACCCATGTGAGTAAAGCTGAAGGAAAAGGAAGTGCCTTCTGTGTTTCTGGCCTTTGAAATATTTTTTAATGATTAGAAAACTGTTTCTTGGGCCGGATGCGGTGGCTCAAGCCTGTAATCCCAGCACTTTGGGAGGCCGAGGCCGGTGGATCACGAGGTCAAGAGATCGAGACCGCCCTGGTCAACATGGTAAAACCCCGTCTCTACTAAAAATACAAAAAATTAGCTGGGCATGGTGTCCCAGCTACTCGGGAGGCTGAGGCAGGAGAATTGCCTGAACCCAGGAGGCGGAGGTTGCGGTGAGCTGAGATTGTGCCATTGCACTCCAGCCTGGGTATCAAGAGCAAAACTCCATCTCAAAAAAAAAAAAAAAAACAACTGTTTCTTCATGAAAACTGGTTTGCCTGTAGTCTTACTGGATTCAAATAATAATGTATTGTTATTCAGACATTAGCAGAAAGAAAAATTTTCTTCTCTTCCACCACTCCTTTTTTTAGTTTTCATGGCAGTAAATTATTTTTTACCTGCGTGTGAAGTCAATAATCAGAACATTTACTACTTGTTTTATTTTACAGTAAGAATTTATAATATTGTCTGTAAAATTCACATGAGGGCAGTCAACTTTTTGTCAATAGTGTCTTTGCCTGAAGGTAGTGACCCTGTAATCTGATATATTAGTGAAAATGTATATACTGGTGAGGGATATAGGTTTACATAAAGAATTGCTTTTTCATCTGTGGATGGTAAAAAAAGGCATTTTGGTCTCTTTATAAGCGTAATATTTAAATTATAGGTAAAAGTTTCAATGTATTCCATTTTGAACATGGGGAATATTAACAAGAATCACTTGGCTGGGTGCCGTGGCTCACTCTTGTAATCCTAGCACTTTGGGAGGCTGAGGCAAGTGGATCACTTGAGGTTAGGAGTTTGAGACCAGCCTGGCCAACATGATGAAACTCTATCTCTACTAAAAATACAAAAATTAGCCAGGGGTGGTGGCACCTGCCTGTAGTCCCAACTACTCGGGAGGCTGAGGTAGGAGAATTGCTTGAACCCAGGAGGCAAAGGATGCAGTGAGTGGAGATCGCACCACTGCACTCAAGTCCGGGAGGCAGAGCAAGACTCCGCCTCAAAAAAAAAAAAAAATCACTGGATTCCTGACTTCTAACCTTTTGGGGGAATCTTAATTGTTTATTTTATTTCATGTACCCTGTTTCTTTTTTTTGTACCTAGAAGTACCCTGTGGCCTATACATATTTTTTCTTTTTTAAAACAACTTTACTGTGGAAAATTTCAAACATATACCAAGTAAACAGAATAATATGATGAACCCTCTTGTATTCATCACCTTGCTTTAGAAGTCATCAAGATGCTACTACTCTTTTAGCTTTTTTTTTTTTTTGCCCCAGTCTCGCTAATGTCGCCCAGGCTGGAGTACAGTGGCACAATCTTGGCTCAAGCTATTCTCATGCCTCAGCCTCCCACATGGCTAGGATTACAGACATGTGCCACCACACCCAGCTAATTTTTGGTTTTTATTTAGTAGAGATGGGGTTTCACCATGTTGGCCAGGCTGGTCTTGAACTCCTGGCCTCAAGTGATCCGCCTGCGTTGCCTCCCAAAGTGCTGGAATTACAGGCATGAGCCACCACACCTGGCCTTCTTTTACCATTTATACATCTACACATTCCCCATCCTCTACTCAATAATTTTTTTTTAGGTAAAATTCATATACACTGAGATGCAAAAATAAGCTGTTACAGTTACAACTATGTAGCACACCTATCATAGTATAAAACATTTTTATCTCCCCAGAAAGTCCCCTTATATACCTTCCAAGTCATCCCTTGCCCCAACAGGAAACCATTGTTCTCTTTGGCTTTGCCTGTTTTTGAATGTCATATAAACAGAACCATGCATTATGCATTCTTTGTGTCTGGCTTTTTTTGTCAATCATTGTATCTGTGAGATTCATCCATGTTGCATTCCTTTTTTTTTGCTGAGTAGTCCATTGTATGGGTATGCCACAGTTTGTACATTCATTCTCTTATGAACATTTGGGTTCTTTCCAGTTTTTGCTTTTTTTTTTTTTCAAGATGGAGTCTTGCTCTGTTGCCCAGGCTGGAGCGCAGTAGCACAGTGTTGGCTCACTGCACCTCTGCCTTCTAAGGTCAGGTGATTCTCCCGCCCCAGCCTCCCAAGTATCTGGGACCACAGGCATGCGCCACCATGCCCAGCTAATTTTTGTATTTTGGGTAAAGACGGGGTTTTGCCATGTTGGCCAGGCTGGTCTCGAACTCCAGACCTCAGGTGACCCACCCACCTTGGCCTCACAAAGTACTGGGATTACAGGTGTGAGCCACCGTGCCCAGCCTAGTTTTTGCTTTTGTGCTATGAACATTTACAACAAGTCTTTGGGTGGATTTATGTTTTCATTTTTCTTTGACATGTACCAATGGGTGGAATTGCTAGATCAATAGATGCATATTTTATTTATTTATTTATTTATTGTATTATTATTATTATTTTGAGATAGAGTTTCACTCTTGTTGCCTAGGCTGGAGTGCAGTGGCTCAATCTCGGCTCACCGCAACCTCTGCCTCCCAGGTTCAAGTGATTCTCCTGCCTCAGCCTCCCAAGTATCTGGGATCACAGGCATACACCACCACACCCAGCTAATTTTGTAGTTTTAGTAGAGCCAGGGTTTCTCCATGTTAGGCTGATCTCGAACTCCCAACCTCAGGTGATCTGCCTGTCTTGGCCTCCTAAAGTGCTGGGATTACGGGTGTGAGCCACCATGCCCAGCCTCTTTCTTTATTTTTTTGAGACAGTTTTGCTTTTGCTGCCCAAGCTGTAGTGCAATGGTGCCATCTTGGCTCACTGCAACTTCTGCCTACCAGGTTCAAGTGATTCTCCTGCCTCAGGCTCCCAAGTACCTGGGATTTCAGGCATGCGCCACCATGCCTGGCTAATTTTGCATTTTTAGTAGAGATGGGTTTCTCCACGTTGGTCAGGCTGGTCTCAAACTCCCGACCTCAGGTGATCTGTCCGCCTCCCAAAGTGCTGGGATTACAGGTGTGAGCCACCATGCCCAGCCGCATGTTTAATTTTATAAAAACCTGCCAAACCGTTTCCTAAAGTGTTTATGTCATTGTACATTCCCCCTGACAAAGGATAGATATGTGTCTGTGGTTTGCAAGTTTAGATAAACTGATAGATACAAGAAGCTTTTCCTTATAGGAAATGGTTTGTAGGACTATCTCAATATTAGTTGTTATTCCACAGAATGTAAGATGACCTTGAAATATATACTCATCATTAGTTTGTTGTTTTTACGTGGCTTCTAAGGAGTTGTAGAAATTATTTCAGTCCTTTTAGTAAATCAGCTGATGTTGTTATACAGATAGTATAGTTGTTGCCTTTATGAGAACAAATACATTACTGAGTGTCATTTTTTGGAACTCTGTTTATAATTTCCAGAGTCCTTTTAGGAACGCTTGTCTGTGATTCCTAGAAACATTCTCTTTAACACTTAGTGGTTTTAGCACTGAATATCTGTCATCACCCACACTATTGTGGTCAGGGGGATATCACAGCAGGTAATCTAAATGAAATGGTTGGGATGAAACTCCACTAAGGTAAGTAATGTTTATTGCTTTCCAAAGAATATTACAGTTAAATTATTCAACAATAAATCTGCCTTTGCACCATTGTCAGGTATTAATGTGAGTCATTTGTTCTATTTTAGTGATGTCCTCGCATTGCCCATTTTTAAGCAGGAAGAGTCAAGTTTGCCTCCTGATAATGAAAATAAAATCCTACCTTTTCAATATGTGCTTTGTGCTGCCACCTCTCCAGCAGTGAAACTCCATGATGAAACTCTAACATATCTCAATCAAGGTTAGACCTTCCTCATTCGTTGATACTATTACAGGCCTACTGGATTTATGATGTTTTATTAGGTATGCTTACATGTAAAAATTTAGATCTTTCTAGTATGGCCTATCAAACTAGAAGTCTTATTTCAGAGATTTGAGTTCTCGTGTCACATTTGATATCTGTTACTAGCTCCTTTTGCTTAGCTGCCCATCTTTAGTTCCCAGCTTCCTCTTCCTAATCACCTTCCCTAGAGACTCCCATTGGTTACTGTCTGAGAAGTATTACTCTACCTGGCTCTATTATTTACCAGTTGTGTGGCCTTGGACAAGTTTCTAAAGCTCTTTTAAGTTTCAGTTTCTTTGTCTGTAAAATGGGATTGATAATACCTTAGAAAGGTATTATCAATGAGATAATGAGTTAAATGAGATAATGTGTGAAAATACTTAGCACAGTGCTGAGCATCTAGTAAAGGTTTCTGGTTGTTGTTACTAATACTAATAATATTATTATACTCTTGTATATTCAACTAACTGAATTCTATTCTTTCTGAATCTAGCAAAGTTAATTTGTGATGAATATAATATATAATTACTTTTTCTTCTAGGACAGTCTTACGAAATTCGAATGTTAGACAATAGGAAACTTGGAGAACTTCCAGAAATTAATGGCAAATTGGTGAAGGTAAAATGAATAAATCATTCTTCTATATAATATTTTTTACTAATCCTTTTGGGATTTGAAATTTTATTTTTTTGTTAATGTCCTTTTGCTTCCATAAAGGGCTTGATGATATCTCTTGCCTGCAATCATTTATAGGCATAGTGGTAAACAGATGTGTTATTTCTTTGGGGTCAGAGTAAGTAAGCCCCCCAGTTCACATGAATTTTTCAGAGCTGCAGAAATAGGATGCTCACCATGCTCTGTCCAGGGTAATCCCCTGGCTCAGTGAAGTTCTTTTGGGTGGAGTAAAGTAACCTCCTTCAGGTCTTTAGAGAAGCCTCAGTGTTTTTTTTGTTTTTGTTTTTGTTTTTTGATACTTTGTCTTATAGCAAGGAAAACAGAAGCTACTGTTGATGAAGAGCAGTTGTCTTAGTCTAGACTCACAGTCAGGATTTTGATAATTCACAGCACAACTGAGACAGAGGAGTTTTGTCAAAAGGTGGTGGGGGAATTAACAGGCACTTATACAAAGTAAGAGTAACAAAAGGAAAGTTGATGGAAACAGGCTTTACCTACCCTCAGTATTTATAGGTTGCATGGTGGGTTAGCAAGCAGGGGACTTGGTGAGTTTTTCATATACTTCTGAAGAGCTAAGCCAGATAGGCCGTGATGTGAGAGAAGAGGCATGCAGAAATGCTTCAGACAAGAGTCCTTTTTGCCTAGTTACCATAGGACTGAAATTTAAGCCAAGTTTTAAATATGGTACCAGTTAACTATAAAGATACCTGAGAAAGTGGCCAGGTGTAGTGGCTCACGCCTGTAATCCCAGCACTTTGGGAGGCCAAGACAGTGGATCACCTGAGGTATGGAGAAATCCCATCTCTACTAAAAATACAAAATTAGCTGGGTGGGGTGGTTCATGTCTGTAATCCCAGCCACTCGGGAGGCTGAGGCAGGAGAATCGCTTGAATCTGGTAGGCGGAGGTTGCAATGAGCCAGGATCGTGCCATTGTACTCCAGCCCGGGCAACAAGAGCAAAACTCCATCTCAAAAAAAAGAAAAGATTATATCTGAGAAATTATAAAATTTATCCTGAAATAGTACTTGGTATGGTATGGGTTTTAGAGTGAAACAGATCTTAAGAAAAATGATTTTAGATTGTGTTTAGAAACCAGCTGGCAGTGAGTCCTGCTAGTTTTCCTTTGTCAGCACTGATTTTCAAGAGGTCCTGTTATCTGATTTTGCTGTATCCTTTTAGAGTATATTCCGAGTGGTGTTCCATGACAGAAGGCTACAGTACACTGAGCATCAGCAGCTAGAGGGCTGGAGGTGGAACCGACCTGGAGACAGAATTCTTGACATAGGTGAGTTAAGAGAATCTATTGCCTAGGAAATGCCTTTCACTATGGCCTGAGAGTTGGTTTTCTTTACTTGATATTTACCTTGATTCATATGCTTGAGAGGCTCAATTAGTCTAAACCTTGAAATTATTTACTAAGCATAAAAAATTAAGTAATTCAAGTTAAAATGATAACAAAATTGAAGTTGGAAGTGTAAACACTTCAGTGCCATAGCAACTGTAGGTTGATTTTGTTTTGTTTTTTAAGTTGTGGTAAAATATACATTTCATAAAAGTTATCATTTTAACCATTTTTAAGTGGATAGTTTTGTAACATTAAATACATTCACCTTATTATGTAACCATCACTACCATCCATCTCCAGAACTTTTTCCATTGTAAAACTAAAGTCTGTACCAGTTAAACAATAACTCCTCATCCTCCCTTCTTCACAACCCCTGGTAACCACCATTGTCCTTTCTGTCTCTATGAATTGGACTACTAAGTACTACATAAATGAAATCATACAGTATTTGTCCTTTTGTGACTGGCATTTTTCACGTAGCACAATGTTTTCAAGGTTCATGGAGTAATATACATTAGAATTTCCTTCCTATGTAAGCCTGAATAATATTCCATTGTGTGTATATACCACATTTTGTTTATCCATTCATCTCATGATACACACTTAATTTGATTCCACTTTTTGGCTATTGTGAAAAATGCTGCTATGAACATGGATGTACAAATACGTGTTTAAGTCTCTGCTTTTAATTCTGCTGGATACATATCCAGAAATGGAATCGCTGGATATCGTAATTCTATCTTCAGTTTTTTTTTAGAAACCACTATATTGTTTTCCACAGTGACTACACATTTTACATTTCTACCAGCAGTACTGAAAGCTTCCAATTTCTCCAGTCTTGCCAACACTTGTTGCTTTCTGTTTTTCGATAATATCCATCCTAATGGTTGTGAAGTATCTCATTGTGGTTTTGATTTGCATTTCTCTGTTGATTAGTGATATTGAGCATCTTTGCATGTGTTTATTGGCCATTTATATATATATATATTTTTGAAAAATATTCAAATCTTTTTCCCATTTTTGAATTGGATTGTTTGCTTTTTGTTATTGAGTTGAAGGAATTCTTCACATATTCTGGATATTAACCCCATAGCGGATATACCACATGCAAATATGTTCTCTTATTCTGTGGGTTGCTTTTTCACTATGTTAATACTATCCTTTGATGCATTAAAGTTTGACATTTTGAGGTGGTCCGATTTATCCAATTTTTAAATTGCCTGTGCTTTTGGTGCCGCATCCAAGAAATCATTGTCAAATTCAGTGTTAAGAAACTTTTCTCATGTTTTCTTCTAAGAGTTTTATAGTTTTAGGTCTTATATTGAAGTCACAGATCTATTTTGAGTTCATGCTTGTATATGGTACAAGGTAAGGGCCCAACTTCATTCTTTTGCTTGTGGATACCCAGTTTTCTCAGTACCATTTGTCGAAAAGACCATTCTTTCCACATTGAATGGTCTTGGCACCCTTGTCAAAATTCATTTGACCATGTATTTGAAGACTTATTTCTAGCTGCTCTATTCTGTTCCATATGTTTACATTGTCTTTATGCCTATACCTCACTCTTTTGCTAAGTGTAGCTTTATGGTAAGTTTTGAAGTTGTGAAGCATGAGACCTCCAACTTTGTTCTTTTTTGAGATTGTTTTGGCTACTCAGGATCCGATATTTTGTTTTGCATTTGTAAAGGGGCAGATTTTTTTCCCCAACATGCTGAGAGTTCCTTCATTTTACTAGTGCCTGAGAACTAGATTCATAGTATGTTTTACCTAAAGTGAGAGTTCTGGTATTAGAAGAAGCTAGTCTCTTGGTTTACAGTTAAGTTTGTCTTCCCACATTGCTACACAGAGTAGAATTTGTTTTTCCTGTCATAGGGTATAAAGGAAAGATCTTCACAAACACACATGCAGTCACTTTTCTTGGTATCTGCATGTCTGATTTCTAATTGGTTAAAATTTCCTATTGGTAAACATAGTTGTTAAAAAAATTAGCTACTACTAATTTTACCTGAGAAACCATTGGTTCTCACGCAGTGATCTTGATATCTGTATGATGACTTGACCTTGAGATGCATTTAACACAACTAATATTGTGGAGTGGGACCCACTTGATGCTTTATTGTTTGAATCATTGATACCAAAACAGTAGTATTGTTATATCACAGTTTTGATAATACATATCACCTGGCCTTAACTCCCCAGTTTGATCATTAATAGAAGTCACGGAATGCTATTTGGATATCTGCTATGTGGAATGGAAAGCAAAGTTCTACTCGAGCCCGTTAAATCTTGCTCCCCTTTTAAGTAAAGATTTGTCACTCTGTTACAGGATTATTTGATGACTTGATAAGTCAACATCAATTTTTTTTTTTTTGAGACAGAGTCTCACTCTGTGACGCAGGCTGCAGTGCAATGGCGCAATCTTGGCTCACTGCAACCTCTGTCTTCTGGGTTCAAGTGATTCTTAGTCTCAGCCTTCTGAGTAGCTGTGATTATAGGTGCCCACCATTATGCCCGGCTAATTTTTATATTTTTAGTAGAGATGGGGTTTCACCATTTTGGCTGGGCTGGTCTTGAACATCTGACCTCAAATGATCCACTCCCCTCAGCCTCAAAAGTGCTAGGATTACAGGTGTGAGCCACCATGCCCGGCCTGCATCAATCTTTGTGTTAAAAATTTCCCACTTCCATCTGTGATTTAATCCTTTCTACCTTTATAAAGACATTCTGTTGCACCCCTTCAATAGCAATGCTCTTAATGTGCTTTTGGCAGTAACACTAATTTTAAAACTCTAGTTGAAACAGATTATAATTACAATTTTCATGATAGTGTAGACTTAATCCATCTTAAATAGGATTTTGGCAAATTAAAAGGAAACTGCCTTTAAATTGCCATATTTTAAGCTAGAAGGAGGATATTGAACATTCCCAACACAAAAAAATGATAGATGTTTGAGACAGTGAATATGCTGATTACCCTGATCTGATCACTATGCATTATATGTATTGAAACATCACTATATAGCCCATGAATATGTACAATTACTATTTGTCAATTTAACAATAATTTTTTTTTTTTTGAGACAGAGTCTTGCTCTGTCACCCAGGCTGGAGTGCAGTGGCACAGTCTTGACTCACTGCAACCTCTGCCTTTCAGGTTCAAGCAGTTCTCCCTACCTCAGCCTCCTGCATAGCTGGAATTACAGGTGACTGCTATCATGCCCGGCTAATTTTTGTATTTTTTAGTAGAGATGGGGTTTTGCCATGTTGGCCAGGCTGGTCTTAAACTCCTGATCTCATGTGATCCACCCACCTCAGTGTGAGCCATCGTGTCTAGCCAAAAAATTATTTATTTATTTATCTATTTATTTGAGATGGAACCTTGCTCTTGTTGCCCAGAATGCGTGTAGTGGTGTGATCTCAGCTCACTGCAACCTCTGCCTTCCAAGTTGAAGCAATTCTCCTGCCTCAGCCTCCTGGGGGTAGCTGGGATTAAAGGCATGCGTCACCATGCCCAGTTAATTTTTGTATTTTTATTAGAGATGGGGTTTCACCATGTTGGCCAGGCTGGTCTTGAACTCCAGACCTCGTAATTTACCTGCCTTGGCCTCTGATTACCAGCGTGAGCCACCGTGCCTGGCCAAATAATTTCTTTAATTTACATATGTTAAAAACTTTTTAAAGAGGAAAGAAAAAAAGCTCTCAGAAGGAAAGTAGTTAAGTCAATTTGACTCTAATCAAATCTTTTCACTGGCAAAAAAAGAAATTTAAGGTGTGGGCTGAGTGTGGTGGCTCATGCCTGTAATCCCAGCACTTTGGGACACCAAGCTGGGCGGATAACCTGAGGTCAGGAGTTGGAGAGCAGCCTGGCCAACATGGCGAATCCCATCTTTACTAAAAGTACAAAAAATTTAGCCCGGCTTGGTGGCACATGCCTATAATCCTAGCTATTCGGGAGGCAGAAGCAAGAGAATCGCTTGAACCCCAAAGGCAGTTGCAGTGAGCTGAGATGGTGCCACTGCACTCCAGCCTGGGCGACAAAGCGAGACTTCATCTAAAAAGAAAAGCAAAGAAATGTAGGATGTGATACACAAACATCTTAGTAGCTAGGGATGAGTAATATAAGAATCAATGCTTTCTTATTTAAAACTGAATAGCCCTCAGAATTGTTCAATTATTACTGTTTTGTTTCTCAGATATCCCAATGTCTGTGGGTATAATCGATCCTAGGGCTAACCCAACTCAACTAAATACAGTGGAGTTCCTGTGGGACCCTGCAAAGAGGACATCTGTGTTTATTCAGGTAAGGCATTGCGGATAGCGTTCCAGTTTTGAAGAGCATCTCTTACTACCAGTTTATTTCTTAAAGGATAAAACATGTTAACTTTGAAATCTTTACAGGGTTCTAGCCTGACTATCAAGCCCAGGCTCCTTAACCTGTGCCTGAGAACATTGAGGAGTTTCTGAATTGCTCTTCTAATACCCCAATTTATTTATTTGTGTCTCCCAAAATTGCTTGGTAATGGCTGCGTAATATTTCATTCCTTGGTTGTACCATAATTTACCTAACAATTATTTAGCATTTAGATTGGCCTTTTTTTTTTTTTTTGAGACACGGTCTCGCCCTGTTGCCCAGTCTGGAGTTCAGTGGTGCAATCTCGGCTCACTGCAACCGCCACCTCCCGGGTTCAAGTGATTCTCTTGCCTCAGCCTCACCAGTAGCTGCAGGCACATGCCACCCATGCCCAACTAATTTTTGTATTTTTGGTAGAGGTAGGGTTTTGCCATGCTGGCCAGGCTGGTCTTGAACTCCTGATCTCAGGTGATCTGCCCAACTTAACCTCCCAAAGTGCTGGGATTATAGGTGTGAGCCACCACACCTGGCCTTGATTGGCCTGATTTTTTACTATTATCTGTAATGTTATTTTGAACATCTTTATACTTAAAATTTGATTTGAATATCTGAATATGTTATTTGGATAGAGTCTTTGAAAATCCTTATTTGTAATAATGATAATAACCAGTAGTTTATTAAGTACTTCACATGAGATAGTCACTGTGTTAAGTAAACACTTTGTATATATGATTTTAAGACTTTCAACTATAATCTTGTGGAGTAGTCAATCAGACAAGGTTCTACTATTAAGATTCATCAGATGGGGCCTGGTGGCTAACACCATTAATCCCAGCACTTTGGGAGGCTAAGTGGAGCAGATCACCTGAGGTCAGGAGTTCAAGACCAGCCTGGCCAACCTGGCGAAACCCCGTCTCTACTAAAAATGCCAAACTTAGCCGGGTATGGTGGTGTGCACCTGTAATCCCAGCTACTTGAGAGGCTGAGACAGGAGAATCATTTGAATCTGGGAAGCAGAGTTTGCAGTGAGCCAAGATTGCACCATTGCCCTCCTTGGGCGACAAGAATGTAACTTTGTCTCAAAAAAAAAAAAAAAAATTCACTAATGTTAGGCTTTATGCAGTCGCCAGGCAAACCTCTTTCTCCACTATCGCTGTGAACATTCATATTTACTATGTTCCCAGACTGGGTAGTGACTCCTCTTTCTAAGATCTTCCTTGAAATTGAGGAAACTTTAACTCACAGAAATCATTTCTGTTTTGCTAACTCTGTGTTCTTTGAAGCAGTTAATGAATTTAGTTCCTCACAGTAACTTTTGGTAGCATTAGATCTGTACATTTATTTTGTTTGCATTTGTAAATCATTTAAGTTTTTGTATTTCTTGTATCAGATTGGAAGTTTTTTAAGATCAAAAAGAGGAAAAGTGTTTTTTGTAGATATTCGTAATGCCTAGTAAAGGTTTTGCTGTTAACAGTTGCTTAAAAAACAAACAAACCACCATTTGGCCATTTGGTTTGGCCGGCCGGACAGAAGCCTTGATGTTGCATTCTTTTCAGGTGCACTGTATTAGCACAGAGTTCACTATGAGGAAACATGGTGGAGAAAAGGGGGTGCCATTCCGAGTGCAAATTGATACCTTCAAGGAGAATGAAAACGGGGAATATACTGAGCACTTACACTCGGCCAGCTGCCAGATCAAAGTTTTCAAGGTATTCCTGGGCAATGTGCTAGCCCTTGGATTCTTTTACCTTATCATTCTATATTAACATTAGCTACGAAGTCAGAAAGTCAACTTGTCTTTTTTTTTTTTTTTGAAAACTCAAAAAATGAAAAAATGTCTAAGCTAGAGTCATTGAAATAATTACCAAGATGCCTGGTAAAGAAATTTACATGGAAATGATCATGGGATAATAGGAACTTGGAAAAAAGGGCTAGAGACAAGAACATGGGTTCTCATTGAAAGCTCTTAAAGCCTGTTGAAGTTACAAGCTCTTGTAAAGCTTACAAAAATTGAGTATTTTTGGTTACATTCATACTTGATCTTTTCTTATTTGGTCTTATTTATTTATTTATTTTTGAGACTAGGTCTCAGTCTGTCACCCAGGCTGGAGTGCAGTGGCGTAATCACAACTCACTACAGCCTCAACGTTCTGGGCTTAATCGATTCTCCTGCCTCAGCTTCCCCAGTCAGTGGGACTACAGGCATGTGCCACCACATCGGGCTAATTTTTGTATTTTTTTGTAGAGAGAGGGGGTCTTGCCGTGTTGCCCAGGCTGGTCTTGAACTCCCGGGCTTAAGTGATCTGCCTGCCTCAGCCTCCCAAAGTGCTGGGATTATAGATATTAGCCACTGTGCCCCAGCCAGGGTCCTATTTATTTTTATCACAGGGATAAGTATGTTCTTGGTCCGGGTGCAGTGGCTCACACCTGTAATCCCAGCACTTTGGGAGGCCAAGGTGGGCAGATCATGAGGTCAGGAGATCAAGACCATCCTGGCTAACACAGTGAAACCCCATCTCTACTAAAAATACAAAAAATTATCTGGGCATGGTGGCACACACCTGTAATCCCAATACTCAGGAGGCTGAGGCAGGAGAATCACTTGAACCTGGCAGGTGGAAGTTGCAGTGAGCCGAGATTGTACCACTGCACTCTAGCCTGGGTGACAGAGCAAGACTCCATCTAAAAAAATTTTTTAATTTGTTCTCATTGTAAGATATTGAATAATACAGAAGTATTCAAAGCAACGAGGAAATTCTCTCTTTACTACTCTTACGCTGAACCCCCTCACCGTCTTATGATGGAGGAAACCACGGTCATAATTTTGTATGTGTTCTTCTAGTTCCCTCTTCTTCTTCTTCTTTTTTTTTTTTTTTTTGAGACGGAATTTCACTCTGTTGCCCGTGTTGGAGTGCAGTGTCACAATCTCAGCTCACTGCAACCTTTGCCTCTTAAATTCAAGCAATTCTCATGCTGCAGCCTCCCCAGTAGCTGGGACTACAGGCATGTGTCACCATGCTCAGCTAATTTTTTATATTTTTAGTAGAGACGAGGTTTTGCCATGTTGGCCAGGCTAGTCTCGAACTCCTGACCTCAGGCGATCTGCCTGCCTTGGCCTCCCAAAGTGCGATAGTTACAGGATTGAGCCACCACGCCCAGCTCTTTTAGTTCCCTTCTGTGCTTTTATACACAGGCATACATAGCTACATACATATTTTCTTTGACACGTAAGTGGGATTATACTATTTGAATTGTTTTGAGACTTGGTTTTTTTTAGTGAACTGTGTGCTTTAGACATATTTCCATGTCAGTAGCTATAGATCTGATTCTTTTCAACCCTATCAAACATGTAAATTTCCTATTTTCAGACTTAAACTGATGTGTCTTACCTTTACATACCTGCACATACAATTTTGTTTCATATGTGAATATTTAAGTTTTTAGAAGTAATATTGTTGGCTTAAAAGGTGATTACCTGAGTTTAAAACAAAATATTTCTCATTTCAGCCCAAAGGTGCAGACAGAAAGCAAAAGACAGACAGAGAGAAAATGGAGAAACGAACACCTCATGAAAAGGAGAAATACCAACCTTCCTATGAGACGACCATACTCACAGAGGTAACAGGATTTCTCTTGGTGACAGTTTCAGTTCATAATTTTTAATCTTAGAAGAAAATCACTTCCAAACTGGTCAAAATTTACTTCTTCTAAGGAATATTCTCTCTCACTCTGTTTTGGTATTGTTTTTGTTTTTAAAAAAACAAGAGCACAAATCTACTTTTATTGATTTTTCATTAGTTTAAATCCTTAAGGGGTAAGCATCACTCAGATTCTGTGTCCAATAGCCTTAGCAGGAAGGTTGCTTTGGAATTTAGCATGAACCATGCCACTGTTTCCATAGGCCTTTCCCCAGATTACTCTGGTTTTGTTTGGTTTGCTGCCAGGAGTCACTGTGTTGTTCTTTGCTTTGATACATACGCACATCTCTTGCCCAAATAGAATTCTGTTTCATCTTGGGGATAAACACCTTCAATTTTAAGAAGAGCTGTGTGCTGCCTTTGGTTCTGGAGAACCCACTTATATCCAGCAAAAATGGCCCAGGACCACAGCTTTCTAGACGTATTTCCTTTTAGAAGTCCTGTTCCCAGAAAGCCTCCACAGGCTTCAAGATGGCGGAAAGAGAAGCAATGTTGTCTATTGCTTATGAGGGTCTCTGAGGAATTAAGATTTACTAATCAAGATGTGCTATTCAAGGAGCAATGTGTTAGTGAAATCCTAGGGTCAAACGTGCTTATTCGTTATCTAACTTATCCTTTGTTTTCAGTGTTCTCCATGGCCTGAGATCACGTATGTCAATAATTCCCCATCACCTGGTTTCAACAGTTCCCATAGCAGTTTTTCTCTTGGGGAAGGGTAAGTCTGGGAAGTAAAATTGGCTTGTCCAAAATATATATTCTTTCATTACCTGTTCATAAACAAGGTCTTTTTAAATCAATAAGCACATCTATTTGGTCTGTCTTTGATGGATTTATATGTTCACTGAGATTTGGATTATCTTCAAAAAAGACCGAGACAGAGTTTTATATAGCCCTGTCTTCTCCTTGTGTTCTCCCCTCTCCCTCCTCTTCTTTTTTCCCCCACCAGAAAGTAGCATTTATGGTCAGTTTTTAGTGGTTCAGGAACCGATGATCTGGGTTTTTTGCTTCTCCCTATGACTGTACATCTGTGGGTATTTCACTTCCTGATCATACTTGCATCAGAGAGTGGTCTTTGGGAACTGGAAACAATTGTACAAATACTAAAATTTGTTTTGTTACTTGTTAAAAATACTTCTAACACCGAATTATTATAAATCTTTGATAATTGGGGAAATAAGTTTAAAGATGATGGGTAAAATGAAGTTTTGGAATTATCTATGGAATACATTTAATCTTGCCTTACTATCTTTTACCATAAGAGATAATTGAAAGTTGGTACAGATGCCTACTTCAATTTTAAAAAGTAGCTGTATTATAGTCCTGGCATTTAACATGTATTTCACATAACCATATTGAAACTTGAACTAGTTAGGCTACCAAATGTGTGAACATATTGTTTGGTTACAATGTTGTGTTTTGGGATTTATTCAGGCTCTATGTCTGACCTACTTTTTAAAGGATTTAATTAAGGTAGCTTAAATATTCAAAACGTAACAAGAATAAAAGTAGGTATTAGTTGTAGAAGGAATACATATAACTAGGGCCCTAAAATAAGTTAATTACTAAGTTTGAATACCAAATTTGAATTTTGCAGATAAGGCTAAAAAAGGAAAAAGATCTTTTTTTGAAAGAAAAAATATCTTAACATCCACATGGATGATACATGCTACTTATAGGTAATTCTGAATATTATATCGGGTTTAAGAGTTGTGTTTAAAACCTTTTCTCTTCTCTTTGTTATGTACTTCATACTAGATTAAACTTTTTATTCCATAAAAGTAGGCATGGCTGGTCACAGTGGCACACGCTTGTAATCCCAGCCCTTTGGGAGGCCAAGGCGGGTGGATCACGAGGTCAAGAGATAGAGACCATCTTGGCCAACATGGTGAAACCTTGTCTCTACTAAAATTAAAAAAAAAATTATCTGGGCGTGGTGTTTCGTACCTGTAGTCCCAGTTACTTGGAAGGCTGAGGCAGGGGAATCAGTTGAACACCCGGAATCGGAGCTTGCAGTGAGCCGAGGTCACTCCACTGCACTCCAGCCTGGTGACAGGGCAAGACTCCGTCTCAAAAAAAAAAAAAAAAAAAAAAAAGGCATTAGGGAAGAGGACAATTCATAGGCAACAAACGTATAAAGGAAAACTGAGGCTGGGCACAGTGGCTCATGCCTGTAATCCCAGCACTTTGGGAGGCTGAGGCAAGCGGATCACAATGTCAGAAGTTCGAGACCAGCCTGGCCAACATGGTGAAAACCTGTTTGTACTAAAGATACAAAAATTAGCCAGGCATGGTCGCAGGCAGCTCTAATTCCAGCTATTCGGGAGGCTAAGGCAGGAGAATCGCTTGAAACCAGAAGGCAGAGGTTGCCATGAGCCGAGATCGTGCCACTGCAATCCAGCCTGAGCGACAAGAGCAAAACTCCATCTCAAAAAGAAAGAAAGAGAGAAAGACTGACTGAGGGTGTGGAGGTAACTCTTGGATCACAAATTAGACAGCACTAATTTTTGAAGCTGCTTTAAAAATAATTATTTTTTTTTCTAAACGTGTGTGATCATGTTGCATTGCATAAATTTTCTTCCAATTTTTTTATGTGTGCATATTTATGTATTTCCTACAGTAGTATTGTATTGATAAACTTCTTTATCCTGATATTTTTCATTTTATTTAAAAAATTTTTTTCTTAACAATTATTCTTTCACAATTTTTCATCTTAGCGAATTTATGGTTAAATTTCTTTTTTTATTTTTTTTGAGTCTTGCTCTGTCGCCAGGCTGGAGTGCTGTAGCATGATCTCAGCTCCCTGCAACCTCCATCTCCCAGGTTCAAGTGATTCTCCTGCCTCAGCCTCCCTAGTGGTTGGGACTACAGGTGTGTGCCACCACACCCGGCTAATTTTTGTATTTTTAGTAGAGATGGGGTTTTACCATGTTGGCCAGGATTGTCTCAATTTCCTGACCTCATGATCTGCCCACCTCGGCCTCCCAAAGTGCTAGATTACAGGCATGAGCCACTGTGCCCACCGGTTAAATATTTTTATGCCATAATTTATCTCGTCAGTCCCAACTTATTGAAACTTTGATATTTTCTTCAGTTTCCTCAATAATAAAAAATGTTGCTAATGACATAATTTCTCCCCCTCCCCATAAAATCTTTAGGTTAAACTAATGGAAAAGTAAAGTATTGGGTCAAAGAATAAGAATGTTTTATGAGAGAGCACAGATTTTTTTTTAATCTCTAGCTTAAGATTTATTGTAAAGATGAGGAATGAAATAATGAGCCCCAGCATGTGTCATGGACTCATCCTTTCATTTTAAATGTTTCTTTAGAAATGGTTCACCAAACCACCAGCCAGAGCCACCCCCTCCTGTCACAGATGTAAGTCTAAAGTTGAATGTTAGTTACTTGCAATGTCTAGTAATACTTTGAAGACTGTCCAATTCAGTAGAAATGCCCAACTTTTAGGGAATATTATTCATTCATTCATTAAACAAACATTTATGGAATTTTGACTATGAACTAGATACTGCACTAGGGACTAAAGATATGAAACAAGTCATACAAGACCCTTCCATCTGAGGAGCTTACAGTCTAGTGGGGAAGAGTAGGAGACTAGAACTCCTTGAAAATCTTGCATGGTTAGAGAAAGAGAAAACAACTTGCACAAACTAGGCCTGAGAATGGGGGTATGTGGGTGTGTTTGGCTATGTGTTACCTAGTGGGGTAACAGACAGATCTATTTGATTACCTAAAAAATGCTCTCTCCCTTTCAGAACCTCTTACCAACAACCACACCTCAGGAAGCTCAGCAGTGGTTGCATCGAAATCGTTTTTCTACATTCACAAGACTTTTCACAAACTTCTCAGGTTAAATTTTCTTTTTCTTTTGTTTTCCCCAGCATGAAATTTTCCTTTGCATTTTAGGGCCTCCTGATGTCTATGGGAGAGTTTTGTGTGTATATATGTGTATGAGAGATCTCACTGCATTTTTCTGATGAAATGAATTTCATAGAACCCTTAAGACTTTCTTGGTAGCTGCAGCTGTGCTGTGAAATACTTAAAAACAAATACCCCTTAGTTTAAATTCAATTTAATTTATTTCATACAACACTTTTTTTTTATCTGAGGCAGGATCTCACTCTGTTGCTAAGGCTGGAGTGCAGTGGTGCCATCTCGGCTCACTGCAACCTTCACCTCTTGGGTTCAAGTGATTCTCCCACCTCAGCCTCCCCAGTAGCTGGGGCTACAGGCATGTGCCACCATGCCTGGCTAATTTTTGTACTTTTTTGATAGAGACAGGGTTTCATCATGTTGGCCAGGCTGGTCTTGAACTCCTGACCTCAGGTGATCTGCCCACCTTGGCATCCCAAAGTGCTGGGATTATAAGTGTGAGCCACTGCACCAGCCTACAACACTTTTTAAAATATATATTTCTCCTCCTGCCTTAACCTAAAAATTAAAAAAAAGAAAAGAAACAAACAAAAAAAATAAAATGTATATTTCATAGAGTATTTTATCAAGTAGTCTGAAAATTTCCCCTTGATATCACTATAATTTATTTCATTTACACAATCCACTTTTATTTAGCACTTTTTTTTTTAAAGATGGAGTCTCACTCTGTCACCCACACTGGGGTGCAGTTGCACAATCTCAGCTCACTGTTATCCCCACCTCCCACGTTCAAGCGATTCTCCTGCCTTAGCCTCCCAAGTAGGTGAGGTTATAGGTGCCTGCCACCATCTCCAGCTAATTTATGTATTTTTATTAGAGATAGGGTTTCACCATGTTGGCCAGGCTAGTCTCAAACTCCTGACCTCAAGTGATCCACCCTTCTTGGCCTCCCGAAGTGCTGGGATTACAGGTGTGAACCATGGCACCTGGCCTATTTAGCACCTTTTGATATGGTAGGAATACACAAATGGATGAGGCATACTTCCTGATCAAATAGCCCCTTAATCATCTGTTCAAAAAAACACCAAAACAAGACACAACTAATGAAATCAAAATAAAACTGAAAAACTGATAAATAGTTGTGATGCTGTAGATAAGTGTTCTGATAATGACAGTAAAACCTTCAGGGGAGGATCTGGTAGTGGGGAACATATGTGACACATGAGGTGAATCCAGGATATTTTTTTTTTTTTTGAGTCAGAGTCTTGCTGTCTCCCAGGTTGGAGTACAGAGGCATGATCTTGGCTCACTGCAACCTCCAACTCCTGGGTTCAAGTGATTTCTCTGCCTCAGCCCCTGAGTAGCTGGGATTCCAGGCACCCACCACCACGCCCAGCTAATTTTTGTATTTTTAGTAGAGACAGGGTTTCACCATGTTGGCCGGGCTGGTCTCGAACTCCTGACCTCAGGTGATCGGCCTGCCTCAGCATCCCACAGTGCTGGGATTACAGGCATGAGCCACCATGCCTGGCACAGGATTTCTTTTTTTTTTTTAAGAGATGGGGTCTTGCTATGTTGCCTGGGCCAGTCTTGAACTCCTGCCAATCGATTGGCCTCTAACAGTCCTCCTACCTCAGCTTCTCGAGTAGCTGAGACTACAGGCATGTTGCACCCAGCCTGGATAATAGAAAGATATTTCAGGCAGAAAGAACAACTTGCTCATTAGACATCATCAGTATGATGAAAGCATAGGGTTAAGTGGGGAAGTTAATTGCAGGGAATTGAGATGGGAGAGGAGGTAGAGGCCAGGTCATGAAGGGCCTTATATGCCATGAAGAAAATTATGGATTGTAACGTTCTGATAATGAGGTGTCCTTATAATAGAGACCATTTTAATAGTCATTAACAAAGAGAATCTGCCTTTATCATCCATTTTCTTATATTTTTTCCAGGGGCAGATTTATTGAAATTAACTAGAGATGATGTGATCCAAATCTGTGGTCCTGCAGATGGAATCAGACTTTTTAATGCATTAAAAGGCCGGTATGTAATTAGTGTTATAATATCAATGAGGTTGGATTCCAAATGGATTTCGATTCAGGAATGCTTCACAATACTCTACACAGCTAAATACACCTTCTCAAAACATTTTTTTTTAAATGTCAGCTATGTACCAAATAAAGATTTAAAAAAATCTTTTCTTCCACTTTGTCCAGGAAATTTCCCATGATATTCCATTTTTCATTTCTAAGTGAATGAATTTTGCAGTGAAAATTCATCATCCTTTTCATGAGCCAGGTACTGTTGTAGGCTCTGGGAATATTAATTTATTGGTGGGCAAAACAGGGTGCCAGTTGTTAGGGAGTTTACTTTCTAATGGGGAGTGAGATAAGTAAGTATTGTGGATAGTGATAAGAGCTTTGAAGGAAAACAAAACAAATAAGTAAAAAACAAGGTTGTGGGCTATAGAGTACCCAGAATGTGGTCAGGAAGCGCCTCTCCAAGGAGGGATGTTTAAGCTGAGTTCTGAGAAGGATGCAGCTCTGGAGTCACAGAAGGGAGATTGTTCTAGGCAGAAGGAACAACAGGTGCAAGGGCCCCAAATTGGTTTTTTTTCCCAAGTTGGTTTTAACTGGAGAAGTGCTCATTCTTTTTTTTTTGAGACGGAGTTTTGCTCTTGTTACCCAGGCTGGAGTGCAATGGCGTGATCTCGGCTCACCGCAACCTCCGCCTCCCGGGTTCAGGCAATTCTCCTGCCTCAGCCTCCTGAGTAGCTGGGATTACAGGCACGCGCCACCATGCCCAGCTAATTTTTTGTATTTTTTAGAGAGACGGGGTTTCACCATGTTGACCAGGATGGTCTTGATCTCTTGACCTCGTGATCCACCTGCCTTGGCCTCCCAAAGTGCTGGGATTACAGGCTTGAGCCACTGAGGCCGGCCCAAACTGGAGAAGTGCTCTTAAATGTGGGTAGGAATTGAGTGTCTGCCTGCAATTGTTAAAATCCACAGTGGTTTGTGAACTTTTTTTGGGAGTTGCCATTTTAAATAGGTAGTAGTAACTTTGATGAAGAAGGCATTTAGGTCAATGGCAGCAGAACCAAATCAATGACTAAACAGAAAAACAGATTGTGCAGTATTTATTTTGGTTTTGTTTTGGCATTTTTTTCTTGATACAGGGTCTTGCTCTGTCACCCAGGCTGGAGTGCTGGAGTGTGATCACTGCAGCCTTGATTTCCTGGGGGCAAGCAATCCTTCTGCCTCAGCTCCTTGAGCAGCTGCGAGTACCGGCATGCACCAACATGCCCACCTAATTTTGTACTTTTTGTAGATGTGGGGTTTTGCCATGTTGCCCTGGCTGGTCTCAAACTCCTGAAGTCAAGCAATCCTTCCGACTTGGCCTTCTAAAGTGCTGAGATTACAGGTGTGAGCCACCGTACCCAGTCATTTTTTTTTTTCTACATCATAAGGGGTGTTAAATCTTGGAAAAAAAAAATTTTTTTTTTTTTTGAGATGGAGTTTGCTGTCATTGCCTGGGCTGGAGTGTAGTGGTGCGATCTTGGCTCACTACAACCTCTGCTTCCTGGGTTCAAGCGATTCTCCTGCCTCAGCCTCTCAAGTAGCTGGGATTACAGGCATGTGCCACCATGCCCGGCTAATTTTGTACTTATAGTAGAGAGGGGTTTCATTATGTTGGTCAGGCTGGTCTTGAACTCCTAACCTCAGGTGATCTGCCTGCCTCAGCCTCCCAAAGTGCTGGGGTTACAGACGTGAGCCACCACGCCCGCCAAATCTTGGAAAATTTTAAGGAAAGAAGTGAAATTAGGGGCTGATGACTTGGGGAAAAATAATTGATCTTTCAATATTATCTAAAGGGTGTTTAGAAATAAGAAAGAGTAAGATGATCAGATCAAGAGGTAGTTAAATACCTTTCTCTAAGAAGAACAGAAAAAGGACTTAGGCTAGTTAGGAGAAGGTAATGAGAAAAATAAGATGATCTAGTTTACTGTGTTGGCATTTTTGAGTAAAAAGTATATCCTGAACCTGACCCATAAGACGGTGGCCTATGTATCTTGACTATTTCTAACTTTTACACAATAAGTCACAAACTCAAATGACTACAGAGGACATACAGGTAATGCAAATGAATGGCAGTCAAGACAGGGGTAAAGAGTATATACATCATATAAGGAGAACAGCTGATTGTTTTCATGTGAGAATGTGGGCTTAAGATTGCTAGATCTGAGTCTTCAGGAAAAGCCACAAGTTCAGAGGTTTATATGATGCCTCATATTGGAACTAATTCCACTTAAGGAAAAAAAATAGCCCTACCACTGGGGAACTAATAAAACATAGTGAATTAATTGCATTTGGCCATTGAGCTTCTACTTTTCATCTGCTCTGTACTATTAATGTAGAAACACAGTTTCTCCCTTCTTTTTATTGTGCTTACCATAAAGAATGTAAGACTAATTAGCCTTTTTCTTCCCTTTAGGATGGTGCGTCCAAGGTTAACCATTTATGTTTGTCAGGAATCACTGCAGCTGAGGGAGCAGCAGCAACAGCAGCAGCAACAGCAACAGAAGCATGAGGATGGAGACTCAAATGGTACTTTCTTCGGTAGGTTGTTCTGGACAGACCAGGACAGATACGAAGAAAGGTGAAGAGACAACTTATGGGCCTCTGTGATGGGAAACTATCAGAAAGTAGATTCATTGTCTGCTAGAAATAACAATAATCACTAGCATTTATTTGCACTCCTAATATATGGCAGGTGCAATCCTTTTTGGGGGGGTGGGGAGTGACAGACTCTCACTCAATTTAGCCAGGCTGAAGTACAGTGGTGTAATCATGATTCATTGCAGCCATCTGCTCACCGGGGCTCAAGTGATTCTCTCCCCTCAGCCTCCCAAGTAGCTAGAACTACAGGTGTGCATCCCATATCTGCCTAATTGTTTTATTTATTGTAGAGATGGGTTCTCCCTATGTCACCCAGGCTGGTCTGGAACTCCTGAGCTCAAGCAATCTCCCTGCCTCAGCCTCCCAAATTGCTGGGATTATAGGTGTGAACCACCACGCCCAGCCAGGTGCTATTCCTAATACTTTTTATATGCTTTAATATTTAATATTAATATCTTTATATATTTAATAGATATAAAACTAATATCTCCTCTTTGCAGAGGATTTTATTGTTATCACCAGTATTTATGTGAGAAAAATGAGGCCTAGGGGTAAATAACGTATCCTAGGTCACACAGCTGCAAGTGGTTGAGCCAGAATTGGAACTTAGGCAGTCTGATTTCTGAGTCCTTCAGAGAAGTGGGCGTTCCTAGTGATCAAGTTACCTGTAAGAGCAGACAAACTTTGTACTGACTGCTGTTGCTCTCTCCCTTTTGCAGTTTACCATGCTATCTATCTAGAAGAACTGACAGCTGTTGAATTGACAGAAAAAATTGCTCAGCTTTTCAGCATTTCCCCTTGCCAGATCAGCCAGATTTACAAGCAGGGGCCAACAGGAATTCATGTGCTCATCAGTGATGAGGTAGATTTTTCAGTACAGTTGAATTACCAGATGATGATTAATTTGTCAGCACACGGAGCAAGAGCAGTTCTCCTGGAGCAGAGTGTTCTGTTTTCTAGATCAGAGGGTTTCATACTTTTTTGCTTGCTTTCCTCCTAAAAAAAATTTTTTTTTTTTGGAACAGAGTATTGCTCTGTTGCCCAGGCCAGAGTGCAGTGGCCCAATCTCAGCTCACTGCAACCTCCACCTCTTGGGTTCAAGTGATTCTCCTGCCTCAGCCTCCTGAATAGCAGAATTACAGGCATGTGCCACCACACACAGCTAATTTTCGTATTTGTAGTAGAGACAGGATTTTGCTATGTTGGCCAGGCTGGTCTCGAACCCTTGGCCTCAGGTGATCCGTCTGCCTCAGCCTCCCAAAGTGCTGGAATTACAGGTGTGAGCCCCTGTGGCCGGCCATCTTACTGTAACTTTTGTTTTTATTTTTTTGAGATGGAGCTCTCACTCTGTCTCCAGGCTGGAGTGCAGTGGCACGATCTCAGCTCACAGCAACCTCCACCTCCAGGGTTCATGTGATTCTCCTGCCTCAGCCTCCAGAGTAGCTGGGACTATAGGCACACACCTTCACACCCAGCTAATTTTTATATTTTTAGTAGTGATGTGGTTTAACCATGTTGGCCAGAATGGTCTCGATCTCTTGACTTCGTGAGCCACCCACCTTAGCCTCCCAAAGTGCTGGGATTACAGGCGTGCGCCACCATGCCCAGCCTACTGTAACATATTTTTATGCACAAACATCTTTTATTATCCTACTATATTTGTTTGAAACAAAGTTTTTAAATAAAAATTTAAAAATTATTATGAATGGAATTATCATAATTTACAATTGATTAAAATAATGTAAATATGCTACATGTTTTAATAAGTAATTATTAACCATTAAGAAGCCCAGGCGTGGTGGCTTTTGCCTGTAATCCCAGCACTTTGGGAGGTTGAGGCAGGCAGATCACCTGAGGTTGGGAGTTCCAGACCAGCCTGACCAACATGGAGAAACCTCATCTCTACTAAAAATACAAAATCAGCTGGACGTGGTGGCACATACCTGTAATCCCAGCTATGTCGGAGGCTAAGGCAGAAGAATCGCTTGAACTTGGGAGGCAGAAGTGGAGGCAGAGGCAGAGGTTGTGGTGAGCTAAGAAAAGAAAAGAAAAAAAGTATTACAGGTGTATCTATGGATGAGTTGGATGAAATTGTTTCATTCCCTACCTGTACCCTTGCACATAATTATTTCCTTTGTAGATGAATACTGCCTATTGATTGCTAGAATGACATAGGATTTCAGCATCGATTTTATTGTGTTTTTTTTTCCCTCTAGATATAAATGCTGTGGGACTTGACTCACATAAATTGATAGGAATGGATAGAGTTTTATAATAACAATGTCATTAGATTATTTTAAACTTCACATTTATATACCAAAAATTACATAGTGATAATCAAAAAATCATTTTGAATCCTCTATCATATGACAATTTGTGATTAGGTTACTCCATAATTCTGGTGAAAGGAAAGAGTTAAAAACCATGTGGCTCATGAAAGAGTTTGTTGCCCAGTTATTGGAGTTCACCTTTGTTGCTCCACTTTGGCACCTGAAGCTCCTACATCGTGGGCCAGAGCACCTTGTTAGGGTTCTGGGAGCGTGAAACTCATGCCTTTATCTTGTAAAATGGGAGAAGGGAGTTTGAGAAGGGAAAGTGGGGAAGGAAAATTAAAGAAGTTTTAGCAAAGAGCACATATGGTTGTTGAAGGCACGGAAGTTAGTTCTCCCGTATGTATACATTAGTGTCTGTGTGCTCCTTGGAGAGTCTTGGGGTTAACCCAGGGAAATGCATACCTAGCTTTAAGATAACTGCTCTAATCTGCTTAGCTTTTTAATATTTAAAAACCACATGGGAGGGAAAAAAAGTTTGTGAAGCAGGCTTTTGAAAATTGGGAGGAAGAAACTTTTATGACTCTATAGATATTCAAGAAATACACTATTGTGGCCTGTAAAGCCTCCCATCTAAATCCCTCTGGATGTGGGTTAGTCCTTAGGGACACAGGAATATAAAGGGGTTCTTTTTCATTTAAATAATCACAAGTTTTCTTGATTTTTTCAGATGATACAGAACTTTCAGGAAGAAGCATGTTTTATTCTGGACACAATGAAAGGTAATAGTAAGACAAACACCTTTCTCTGAGCAGTTTAACAGCTTTACTGCTACTAGATAAAGTACATACTTTACTTCTTTGAGGAGAGATAGGGAAAGTATCAACCATAATTTTTGTATTTTTGGTAGAGATGGGGTTTCATCACGTTGGCTGGGCTGGTTTCAAACTCCTGACCTCAAGCGATCTACCCACCCTGGCCTCCCAAAGTGCTGGGATTATAGGCGTGAGTCCCTGCGCCCAGCCCAGTTTTTTGCCATTCTCTTCCATCTTTTATTACAGTTGAGGAAATTCAGGCATTTTTTTTTCTTTATTTTAATAAAGGAAGTGACATTATTAGAGATTGTTTCTTTGTGTAAGTCAGCTTTTTTTTTTTTTTTGAGACAGAATCTCAATCTGTCGCCCAGGCTAGAGTGCAGTGGCAATATCTCAGCTCACTGCAACCTCTGCCTCCTGATTTGAAGTGATTCTCCTGCCTCAGCCTCCCAAGTAGCTGGGATTACAGGAACGCACAATCATGTCCGACTAATTTTTGTATTTTTGGTAGAAATGGGGTTTCCCCACGTTGGCCAGGCTGGTCTCGAACTCCTGACTTCAAGCTGTACACCCACCTTGGCCTCCCAAAGTACTGAGATTACAGGCATGAGTCCCTGCGCCTGGCCCGGCTTTTTGCCATTCTCTTCCATCTTCCATTACAGTTGAGGATATCGAGGCATGTTTTTCTTCTTCTTTTTTTTTTTTTAAAGACAGAGTCTTGCTCTGTCACCAGGCTGGAGTGCAGTGGTGCAATCTCAGCTCACTGCAAACTCTGCCTCTCGGGTTCAAGCGATTCTCCTGCCTTAGCCTCCAGAGTAGCTGGGACTACAGGTGCACGCCACCACACCCAGCTAATTTTTCTTTTCTTCTTTTTTTTTTCAGAGATGGGGTTTCTCCCTGTTGGCCAGGATGGTCTTGACCTCTTGACCTCATGATCCGCCTGCCTGGCATGTTGTTTTATAATGCATATTTATTATAAGGATTCTGTGCTTACTAATAAGTATGCTGCTGTTTGTCCTGCTCTTTTTTTTTTTCCGCTTCTCACAAGAATAACCATATTTTGTTTCTCCTACTGTGTTTTAGAGGTGACTAAAGATGATTCTCTCTCTCTTTTTAACAGCAGAAACCAATGATAGCTATCATATTATACTCAAGTAGGAGGGTGGCATTTCGTGCTCAGTGGCTGCTGCTTGCTTCACCTCTGAAAACAGCCCTCTCCAAGGGGGATATGAATGGAGATTTGAAGGTCTGCAGGAACCTGACTCATCTGACTGTGTGTGGAGGAGTCTAGGCCATGGAGGCAGAATCCTGGCCCTCTGTGTTGACCCAAACTCTTGTGGCACACACAGATTACTGCCCAATATGCAGTTCTGCAGCTATTTCTTAGTTAAAATTTCTGGACCTTGTTGTTACTGAATATCAATAGAAACTCTACATCATTTAGATTGTATGTAGGGCATAATGATGATGGGAATTGTGTGATGTTTAACAGAAAGATCTTAAATTTTGTGACATGGAGCCATGTAATTTTTTTCTTATATAAAAATGGGTATCTATATTCATAAGATGAGGTCTTCAATCTCTTTGTACTGGTATCAAATGTACTGGTATCTCTGCTTCTTGCCACAGTTTGTCCCTGAAAATTTTATCAGGGAGGAAAAATACAGAGATAGAATATTTCTTTTGGTTCCCTGTAATACTACAACTAATAGTGTTATCAGCTAACATTTATTGATCAGGCAGTGTGATAAATTTTTTGAATGATCATCTTGTTTAATCTCCCTAATCATACTATCTGAAGTAGGTGCTATAGTGACCCACAACCGAAGATGAGGAAATGGAGACACAGTGGCTAAGTAGCTTGCCAGGTGCCAGGAGCTGACAGGTAGTGATTCCAAACCAGGCAACCTGGTCTTTCTTATTCACCCTCTATATGCCACCCTTTATAACCCGTGCTCAGTTATTACTGTGGCCCTTCTGGTGACTAGGACATAACACTGAGTATGTATGAACTGAGGAATTAACCACTGAAAGAGACAAAGCACACCTAAATAATGATGAACAAGTCAAGACCCACAAACTACGAACACACAGATGCTTTTTAAGTGTCATCAGTTATCAGAATCGAAGAACTTGAGGTGACAACTCAGGATTATCTGTAACTCCCCACATTCACTCTTCTTGAATGACATTCTCAAACTATTAATGAGTTAGTCTCATCCCTGCTTTCTGTTTCCCCTCTCTGCATCTTCTCTTGGTATAGGAAGTTATTTTACTCATGCAGTGTTTTTTAATATAAGCTTTACAAAAAAAGATGCATTCCCTTCCTGTTCACACTCTTACCATGTTTTCGTTCTTCCTTAAGAGAGTGTGTGTGTGTCTGTGTGTAGCATCATGGATTTTTCTTCATTTGTAAGTTCCTCGAGGTTATGTTGGTAAACAAAGATAATGTTCTAAGATTGTGTATTGATTTATGTGTGTGTGTGTGTGTGTGTGTGTGTGTTTAAAGCGTTTGATAAGGTTTAAATGTTTTTTATACAGAGATTTTTGTTCATTAAAATTAATCTGCATCATGGTCTAATTTCTCTTGGTTTGAAACAAATTGAAAACTTTGAAGCCAGAAAATTAAGTCAATGACTTGTTTAAAACTGACCTGAGCAACTTGTTATATTACACCGAAATACTTATTAGTGAATGATTACCGGATGTCACCATTTTGAGGAGGAGACATTTCTGGTTGTCTTGTATTCCTAGTACTGGTTCTCTCCTCAGCAGGCTGCTATTGGTTTTGATTTTTTTTTTTTTTTTTTTTTTTTTTTTTTGGTATGCCTAGGTATTTGGGTGGGAAAGTTGGACTAGATACCTGCCTTTTTTCTTTTTTTAAATATAGAAATGAGGCTGGGTGCAGTGGCTCATGCCTGTAATCCCAGCACTTTAGGAGGCCAAGGCAGGCAGATCACTTGAGGCCAGGAGTTTCAGACCAGCCTGGCCAACATGGTGAAATCCCGTCTCTACTAAAAGTACAAAAATTAGCTGGGCATGGTGGTGCACACCTGTAATCCTAGCTACTTGGGAGTCTGAGACATGAGAATTGCTTAAACCTGGGAGGTGAAGATTGCAGTGAACTGAGATCAGGCTGCTGCACTCCAGCCTGGGTGACAGAGAAAGACTCTGTCTCAAAAAAATTTCTTTTTAATAAAATAAAATATAGAAATGAGGTCTCACTATGTTGCCCAGTCTGTCCTTGAACTCCTAGGCTCCAGTGATCCTCCTGTCTCATCCTCCCAAAGTACTAGGACTATAGGTGTGAGCCACTGTGCCTGGCCAACACTAGGTGGCTTCTTTTTTTTTGAGACAGAGTCTTGCTCTGTCGCCCAGGCTGGAATGCAATAGCATGATCATGGCTCAGTATAACCTCTGCCTTCCGGTTTCAAGTAATTCTCCTGTCTCAGCCTCTTAAGTAGCTGGGACTATAGGCATGCAACACCATGCCCGGCTAATTTTTGTATTTTTAGTAGAGATGGGGTTTCACTATGTTGGCCAGGCTGGTCTTGAACTCCTGGCCTTGTGATCCACCCGCCTCAGCCTCTTAAAGTGCTGGGATTACAGGCATGAGCCACCATGCCTGGCCCCAAACTAGGTAACTTTTAAGATTTCTTCCAAATCTGTGCGTTAGTGCCTCTTCCTGCAAATGATGCATAGAATTATATATACAGATGAGGCACAGTGGCTCATGCTTGTAAGCCCAGCACTTTGGGAGTCCAAAATGGGAAGATCACTTTAGGCCAGGTCAGGAGTTCAAGACCAGCCTGGGATAAGACCCCCATCTCTACAAAAAGTTAAATTAGCCAGGCATGGCAGTGATTGCTTGAGCCCAGGATTGGAGGCTGCAGTGAGCTGTGATCATACCACTGCACTGTAGCCTAGGTGACGGAGTGAGATCCCCATCTCAGAAAAACAATTATATCTCCTTCTGTCACCCAAGCTGAGTGCAGTGCCACAGTTATAGTCACTGCAGCCTCAAACTCCCAGGCTCAAGTGATCTTCCTGCCTCAGAGCCTCCCAAGTAGCTGTGACTACAGGCACAAACCACAAAGCCCTGCTAATGTTTTTTTTGTAGAGACGGGGTCTTACTATGTTGTCCAAGCTGGTCTTGAACTCCTGGGCTCAAGTGGTCCTCCTGTGTCAGCCTCTCAAAATGTTGAGATTACAGGCATGAGCCACCATGCCAGACCTTTATTAACATATTGACTATAAATTACATTTAACTATTTTTACCTGAAGTCAGGGTTTTTTAGAGTAGTCTTCAAATTTATGGAAATAGATTTATACAACTTTGTAATTATAGATACTTAAATTTACCAGAAAATCTCTTAGGCTTTCTTTAGTTGCAAAATAATTTTATTGTGCCAGTGATACATAATTGGTAAAAATTTGCATAGTGATAGAACATTGTAATTATTCAGTTTGCTTTAAAACATTGCATATATTCACTATTAATCCTTTCAATTAAGTGAAAATTTTATAGTAGCTTTTTTATTATGAAAGTAATACACAAAATGATAAATTAAAACAATTAAGAATGGTATTATATACCTTTTCCTCCCTACCTCTTAGTCCCCTCTGTAGAGGTAATCATTGCAAAGAATTTCCCCTGTCACACATGTGCACACACGCACGCACACACTCAGATGGGCTCATGTTATACCAATGACCTGCAATTTGATTTTTGTATTTAGCATATCTTGAATATCATACTATATTAGAATTTCTAGTTCTACATCATTCTTTTCAAAAACTGGTCATTCTGTATGGATGACATTTACATTATATATATTTGAATATGCATGTGTGTGTGTGTGTGTGTCACCCAGGCTGGAGTGCAATTTATATATATTGCAAGTATATATTTGCAAATATTTATATATTTGAGTGTGTGTGTGTGTGTGTGTGTGTATATGTGTAACCCAGGCTGAAGTGCAGTGGCATAATCTCAGCTCACGGCAGCTTATGTCTCCCAGGTTCAAGCGATCCTCCCACCTCAGCCTCCCAAGTAGCTGGGGCTACAGGTGCATGCCACCACACTTGGCTAATTTTGTATTTTTTTTGTAGAGACAGGGTCTCCCTATATTACCAATACTGGTCTCGACCTCCTGAGCTCCAGCATCCTCCTGCCTCAGCCTTCCAAAGTGCTGGGATTACAAGTGTGAGCCACCCACTGCACCAGCCTAGGCCCTGTAGAGAAGAGGCATAGCATCCTATTTGACTTACCATTGCCTGTACTCCCTTGAAGTATAATAGATTCTATTTAGAAAAATCTGCTGTGTAAAGACTTGGTAATTAAAAGGGAGTTATTGGGAAATATTAATAAAAGGGGAGGAGGGTCGTTGCAGGACTCTAAGGATTGAGTAGTCACTGTGAAATGTGGCTACTGAGTAATAAGATTGATTGTCCAATATTATGGCCCAATGAAAATGTTTGCCCACATAAATGATTTATTTAAGAAGCCAGGTAGACTGGGCATGGTGGCTCATGCCTGTAATCCCAGCACTTTGGGAGGCCAAGGCAGGCAGATCATGAGGTCAGGAGTTCAAGACCAGCCTGGCCAGCATGGTGAAACCCCGTCTGTATTAAAAATACAAAAATTAGCCAGGCATGGTGGTGTGTGCCTGTAGTCCCACCCAGCTACTCAGGAGGCTGAGGCAGAAGAATTACTTGAACTTGGGAGGCAGAGGTGGCAGTGAGCTGAGACCACGCCATTGCACTCCAGCCTGGGCAAGAGAGCGCGACTCTGACTCAGAAAAAAAAGAAAGAGCCATATAAAGGAAGGAAACACGGCCGGGTGCTGGACAGGAGTTCGAGATCAGCCTGGCCAACATGGTGAAACTCTGTCTCTGCTAAAAAAAAAAAAAAAAAAAAAAAAAAAAAAATTAGCCAGGCACAGTGGCTCATGCCTGTAATCCCAGGTACTCAGGAGGCTGAGGCACAAGAATTGCTTGAACCCGGGAGGCGGAGGCTACAGTGACCCGAGGTTGTGTTCCAGCCTGTATGACAGAGAGAGAGAGAGAGAGAGACTCTGTCTAAAAAAAAAAAAAAAAAAAGCCCAAGACCTGAGGAAGTGAGGTCCACATGAAAGGGAAGAAGTTCTGATTCCTGGAAGTCAGGTACTGGGTATGTTGTGAGAGCAGAGTATGATCCCTGAGCAGCCGGGGAAGCTTGGCAAGTAAAAAGCGTGTGGGATAATGGCGTCAGCACATTTCTAATGTATGCATAATGGAGGAGTGTTCTCAAAGCCCTGTGGATCCCCAGATATTCTGAGAAAGTCTTTTGTAGAGGGTTGCTGCAGAGATTTGGACTGTCTTGCAAATCATCATGAAGGGCTGAACAGAGCTTCAATATTCAATCTTAAAAGCAACACAAATTTAGAGACCAAATATTTGAAATCAGGATTGAGCTTTTCCCTCTTGTAGCTTTTTTCTCTGACCAAACCTAACAATTCCAGATTTTTGGGGACTGGAGAACTGAAATTGAAGAACCATTTTATCATTTTACTGAATCATTGGTC